GAACAACTTTATACTGGTCATTAGTGACTATGCCAAGATACCCTGATGATTTCCTTTTAAGAAAGGTGACAGCTAAGGCGGTAGTTTGATCCTTGCTGAAATTTTGTCTCAAAGGGATCACCAGAGATATGTTGACAGACCAGGGTCTGAATTTCATGAGTTGCACGCTCTCACAGGCCTATCAACTGTAAGGGATTAGGAGAGTGAGGACTACCCCCTGCAACCAACAGACAGATGACTTAGTTGAGCATTTCAGCGAGACTCTGAAAGGAATGCTGTGAAAGTTTGTCAGAGACTGAAAGCTGGCCACATCCCACCCTTTCAGCACCAGCAATTCACTCTCTGTTCATCAAGCTGTGGAGCAGTATTTGCCAGGACACATCTGGATCTGAGCCACCTGGAAGAGGAGATGAGGAAAGAGCTTCTACAAATCTTGCCCCTGCACCTGCTCCGAGAAACCCTAGGTCGCACAGAGGTCATCCAATCCCACATCACCTGAAAGGATCCCAAGCCACTTTGCTAGCCTATTTCCAGGATCCCAGAACGCTTGCTGCTGGTGTTGAAGAGGGAGCCAGAAGTGATGAGAGGACTGGGGGTTACTGAGCTGTCCTCCAGCCAATGGAACAGCCCTTGGTCCCCAAGAAGGATGGAACCATGAGCTTTCCACCGATCTACAGCAACAGCTGGTGGGAAAGGGAAAAGAGTTCATCGTGTACTCCTTAGCTGTGAGAGCAGCGACACTTCAGATATTGCCCAACTGTCAATTTTTATCCGCGGAGTGGACTCAAGTCTGTGCGTAACAGAAGAACTTTTGGGATTAAGATCAGTGCATGGCACAACTATGGGGAAAGATGTGTTTGAAGAGGTATCCAGGTGTGTTAGTGAAATGGGGCTGCCTTGGGATAAACTTGTGGGATTGACGACAGATGGAGTGCCCGCGATGTGCGGTCAAAAGAGTGGTTTGGTGGGGAGGGTCCAGGAGAAGATGCGGGAGGAAAACGGCGCAGGTGAGCTGACAGCGTATCATTGCATCATACACCAGGAGTCATTGTGTGGAAAAGCCTTGAGAATGGAACATGTAATGAGCACCATAACACGAACAGTTAATTTCATAAGAGCCAGAGGATTAAATCACCGACAGTTCAAATCTTTTCTGGAGGACTTAAATTCAGAATATGGTGACTTGCCATATCACACAGAGGTGCGATGGCTAAGCCAAGGAAGAGTGTTGAAAAGATGTTTTGAGTTGCGTGAGGAGATCTGCCAAGTTCATGGAAAGCAAAGGAAAAGACACAAGAGACCTCTGGGATAAAAAGTTGCTGTGTGAAGTGGCTTTTCTGTGTGACATCACGAGCCATCTTAATGCGCTCAACCTGCAGCTTCAGGGGCGGGGCCGTGTCATCACGGACATGTACACTGCAGTGAAGGCTTTTAAAACCAAGCTGCACCTGTGGGAGACGCAGATGCTGCAAGAAAACCTGAGCCATTTCCCATGCTGTCAAACTATGAAAGAGCAGGTCTCTACCTCTGTGTTCCCAAGTACACAGTTTGCAGAAAAACTCAGCATACTTGGTGCCGACTTCACACGGCGATTTGCCGACTTTGAAGCCCAAAAAAGCAGGTTTGAACTGCTCAGTAATCCATTTGCAGCTGACGTGGAAAGCGCACCACCAAACCTCCAAATGGATCTGATTGAGCTCCAGTGTAGTGACACACTCAAGGCAAAGTATGAGTCTGTGTGCGCTGCACAGTTTCCACGTTTCATCCCCGACACAATGCCCCAGCTGCGAACCCATGCTGCTCAAATGCTGTCTATGTTTGGCAGCACATACCTCTGTGAACAGCTGTTCTCTTTGATGAAGATAAACAAAACATCACACAGGAGTCGTCTTACTGGTGAACACCTTCACTCAGTCCTGAGGATTTCCTCAGCTCAAAGCCTGACGCCTAACATTGATGAACTTGCATCCAAGATGAGACACCAAGTATCTGGCTCAGACAAGTGAGCATCCACCAGAGCAGTAAACTGAGCTTTAATGCATGTTTCTTTCTTTATTGCTGCTACAGGACATTTTGATTTTTCTTACAAGGAAATTATTTTTTGGCTGTTGTTGGCCTGTAGAAAAATGTTGTCAGTTAAAAATTATCCAGAAAAGCTGCAGAAAGAGCTTTAGAAAATAAATGTAAGTGATTTTTCTTGTATTTAATGTTTAATGTTGTTGTTGTTTTTAGGTACAAAATGTCTTATAAGCTTTGTCAGTTCCAGGTTCAATTATCGACTACTGTGCATCACAGAGTGGCAAACTGAGCTTTAATGCATGTTTCATTTTTGCACTTTTTTTCTTGCTGCTACAGACACTGCATTTTTCTTTGAATTATTTTTTTGCCTGTTGTTGGCCTGTGGGGAAATGTTTTCATTAGAAATTACTATGGAAAGCTCCAGATAAAAAGTGAATACACCTGATTTTTAAAATTTATTTTATGATTAATGTTGTTATATGCTTTACAGGCTTTGTTAATTTCAGGTTCAATTCATGCAACAAGGTCATCGCAAGTTCTCAATAAACATTGAACCAGTCCGGCCCTCGACTTGTACCATTTTTTTTTTTAAATTTTGGCCCACTGTGTATTTGAGTTTGACACCCCTGCTTTAGAGCAATGTTGCTGCGAGGGGAGCCAGATAACGTCCAGCCTTGGAGGTATTGATGTTGTAGTGCAAATGCTGCGTGACTGTGCCATCTGTTTGTTATGTCGGATGGCATGCCAACAAAGCATTATTTCTTTATTTTTCTTTCCAGTCGAGTAATATTGTAACAAAACACACAATATATTATAAAATAAGATACCTAGACAGGAGCCATACAGGAGGGTGCCATTGGCTTATGAACAGGGGGTTCCCAGGTGAAGGCACCATGTATTGTTGAGTTGGTGGGGTGTTGAATTGTTTCATATAAGCAGTGCTATTTTTAATTGCCTTTTAAATGAGTATTTGCTTAAAAATGTACTTTAGTATGTTTTGCAACTGTAGAGTAGATATGAGGATATTGTGTGAATCAGCTATTAATTTGCTGTGGCAAAATTTGACTATCAAATACTAATCAATGTCTCTTAATAGGACCCATGATTTTTATTTTTGGCCAGGCCTGCACTGTACATAGTGCTGCACAGGAATGTCTGTTGCCACTGCTGAATAAATACACCTGGATTTTGTCTTTGTGTCACTTGGCCAAAACTTACATCCCTGCAAACTGGTTGGTCAAGAAAACGAATGAAAGACTGTATTGGAGTTGTTGATGGGGAAATGACAGAAAATGAGGACAGGGCAGTAAAGGAAATTTATACAAATTACAGATTTTTATTTAGTAGAGTTTAAAAGTAAAAATGTAAAAACATGTTTAATCTTGCCCAATAAACATAAAGTTGAAAAAAGAAGCTAATTCTTGCATTTCAAGTAATGGAAAGTCTAAACCACTTCTTTGTGTTTTACCTGTCCCTACACTGGATGCACTAATAAATAAGTTCTGTGAACAGACTCTTTTAGTTGACTCAACATCATTTGACGCAATTATTCATTATCATTATTATTATTTTTAATGTTTTCTGAGATTCCTTAACTTTATCCCCTTTTTCACACCATGGGAGTAAAAGGAGGGACATGAACATGACATTGTTCTCTACCTGCTGTAAAAGTTGAATACATTTATTTTTCTGAATGTTTTCTTTATTATTACAATTTATACGAAACAGGTAACTGTTGCCTTACCTTGGCTTTAATATTCACATTGTTGTAAATGTAATGGTGCAGTTCTTGGTGCTTTTTGGTGACTTACTTGTGATTTATTGTCTAGCTATTCAAATTGTCTTTATCTTTCAATTTCTTGATGCCAGTGCTTTGAGAGACAATGAGAAGCACAAAGACTTATTCTTGTTTGCAAAGCATTATAAAGCAGATTTCTTCTTTTTCCAAGAAACTCATTCTACAGCTAGTGAGGTTAGTTTGTGGGGGTAATGAAAAATGGCTTTCACATGAGTCAGAATGTTCAGCAGGTGTTCAACACGAATTTTGACCACCTCATCAACAAATCACAAAGCTATTTATATTTATATTCCTTTATTCCCTTCCTTTTGTCAAAGTGTACACTTCAACTGATATTGGGTTTTTTCTGTGGGCATTTTGTAAAGTCACTTAAACATGTTTTCAGCTGACCCCGCCCACAGCAGCTCATCTTTCAGCTTTTGAGTCGTACTCTTGTCTGACCTTGTAGGCTGATCCAACTTTGCAAAGTGAACTGATGGTTTGGGAAAAAAAAAAAGAAAAAGAAATGCACAATCCATCCAAGTTTTTTTCTTGTGACGTTTTAGAGAATGTTTTGTTTAAAAAAAAATAAATAAATAAATAAATTAATTTACAACTTTTTTGGCCGTCGTAGACTTGCATCACAAAAATGAAATCCTGTATCTTTATCATGTTGGTGTGCTCTCTGTAGTTATGTTTTTTCAGTTTTGACTTTTCAACCAACTTGTTGAAATGATATTTGTCTGAGCCAATAAGAAACTACTGCTTGGGCCATTGCAAACAATCTGATACTTGACTGCTCAGATATGTTCAGTGAAGTCACTGTAGTACTGGAGTAAGAGCAGATTCATCAGTCATTCCTGTAGAGGACATCTTAGTCCTGGGACCTGTGTACAGGACGCACACCTCCACATTATGACAGGCTGAACACAGAACATGGACTTGGACATCTTTTGACTGAACTAGGCCTTCAATAAACATGAGTTTATATTTTGGAAAAAAAAAAAAGGTTCACAATATTATTCCTGAATATGCTGGATTATTCTTTCATTCCTCGTACAAAAACTAAGACAACAAATCCTTCCTCATGTTTCAGGTGACTGGACAGAAATGTTGAGATAGTCAATAACTTTATCAAGAAAATCTTCTTGTCCAACACGGTTTATCAAGAAAATCTTTATTACTTATTAAAATGTAAGACAGAATGAAAAGACAAAACACCAGAAAACAGTGAAAGCCAAAGACGGTGAAAAGAGACATTTAAAAACTATTGCACTAGTTTATTTTACTGGGTTTTACACATTTCTTCTTGGTTTGGGGACTGAGGCCACCACTCCTCCTTTCTGGCTGCACCTGCAGCTGCATCTGCAAAACACCACACTTTATTCAGACAAATGAATATTTAAGTAACATACAGAATGAAGTGAATCGTACTGGTGTCTGTCCTTCAATTGCTGTGACATTCATAAAAGTCTCAAAGCAGATGTGAGCCTGAGTCAGATTAGTTTTCCGGCCATTATTCTTGAGCTAAGTCAAAATAATAAGAATTAAGAGGGATCAAAAAACACTTTGGATTCATTAAATCAAAAATAATTAGAAAGTATCTTAAGACATTCCAACTCACTTGAGATGGTCAGAGTTTTACTGTGGTACTTTAATGCAGTTGATTTTGAACAGATGACTTTTGACTTACATTTATTTTATCCAAACTGTTTACATTAATAAGGGCAGAGTATAAGACACACTTCTCCTTTACAGTTCAAAGGGGGTTTATAATAAAAAAACCTTTCATGTTTTTTTTTTAATAACCTACTGTAGGTTCTACTCTAGAGCAGGTTGTATTGTTTAAAATATATATAGTCCACTGCAAAACCTGAGATTTAAACGGAAGCTCAAAGAATTGACGACAGATTGCCCAGGTTAATAGAAAAAAAGAAAAGTGAATTCATCAGTTGTGGAAGAAGTGCTGAGTCAAGTTTAAGTGTCAGTGGCAGACAACTTAAGTACCATCACCCCTTGCTTCTATTCATACAGCCCCAGTGATCCCTCAAACAGTATGATATTGCAGCAGTTACCCGTCTCTGCAGCTACTGCAGTTGGTGCATCAGGAACATGGAAAACCTCTGGCAGAACAAACAACTTGGGTCTTTAAGGTGTTCAGATAGTCTTATGGGAGAGTGACAGAGAAGCTTCACTACAATGTAGCCGAACTGTGCAGGTCACTTACCTGGAATGGTGCCGAGGCTGGAGTTGTCAAAGAACTGCTTGGGGCAGTTTCTGGATAAGATCTCAGAGCTCCCGTCCATGTCAAAGAATCTGCTTTTAGGGGAGTTGAGCAGAGAGGCCTTTGGAGAGTCCAGCAGCTTCTTGGGAGATTCCAGCAGCTTCTTGGGAGTAACCAGAAGCCTCTTAGGTGAGCTGAAGAAGTTGGAGGTGTCTGAGGTTGTCAGAAAGCCCCTCTTGGTGGGAGTGCAGGGTGATGAAGGCTTGTCCACTTCAGGTTTGCCCTTCCCCTTTAGCTTGATGGCTCTGCTCTTCCATTTGCTGATCTCTGCCTGCTGCGTGGACACCAAGCTGTAGAGACACAGGGACAGATATGAGAGCAGGACGAAAAGATGCAACTGTCCCAGTAGTTTTACACTCAAACGGGTTAATCTTACCTTTCTAGCTCAATGATTTTCACTTGGAGCTGTTTCACCTCCTCCTCCAGCTTGGTCTTCTCCAGCTGAATGCTGCTCTTGATCACCAAACCTCTGGGGTTGGTCAACTTAGCATGAAGGTCCTCGCCCTGCAGGACTAATTTCAACATAACTACATTAGTGTTATCCTCAGACAGTCAGACACTGTGCTCTGCTGATCAGAGCTGGAGCTGGTAAAAAACCTGCGACCACTGCAGAGTCATGTGACCAGGGAGCCAAAGCTGATTGTTCCCTGTCACATAACACCAAAAGCCAGATGTTAGCTGGTGTTTTGCCTGGTATAAAAGGGGCTAAAGAGGAACGGTGACAAAAACACATGGTCATTATGTTGATCTGTGTAGAAATAAACAGCTGTTTACCATATCAGCTTAAAGGTGATATGTTGATGTTTGCACTGCCCCCAGGTCAAAAAAAGTTTTTGCACCTTTCAGTAAACTGAACCAAACTAAGACGCAGATTGTTTTCATGCTGTGTTTTCATTCCTTCATTCATTCATTCATTCCTTCATTCATTCAGGGAATTTGTTGAGATTAACATGGAGAACCAGAGTTTTGATGGAATTAAAGTATTAATTAACATGAAGCAGTCACTATGTTACCACCTGAAGCTGACAGCTGCTCTGAATACAAATACAGACTTACATGACTCCTCTCCTTGCTGCTGTGATCTTCTCAGGGTCTCCTTCAGCTTCCTCAGTGAATCTTCCTTTTCGTTCAGCACTGTGGTCATCCTCTGGATCCTGAGAGGAGAAAACCAGTCAACAAACCACAAATAAACCCCTTTGTGTTTTTTCCTAGTGTGAGGAAAGAGGACAGCTGATGAGGTCGTCTCATGACCTTTTTTTTTGTGTCCCATGACCGTTATCTCTCAGAGGTTCAAAATACAGCTGAATTGACACAGTCAACACGACAGAGGAACTCCTTCACCATCTGCTCACACATTCTGAGCAGCCGACAGTTCAACAATCCACTAGTTACAGACAATGAATGAGACCCATGAGAAGAAGAAGAAAACACAGGGTTAAAATGGCTCTTACTCTTGTTGATGTTCATCAGTTGCTGAACTCAACTCCACCTCCACTTTGAACAGCTTAGCTTTTAGTCGTTCCAGCTCAGCTGCACTGGGTGATGCATTTTTCTGATATAGAAAAGGACAAAAATTACAACATAAGCTTCTCAATGTAAGTTAAAAAAAACAAACTAAATCAAACTGTTTCAACAACAACAAACACATAATGACCAGAGTAAATGAGCTCAGAGTATGTCAGATCATGTCAGCAAGCCTCTGTATAAGCGGCTGCTCTGAAGTCCTTCACAACAGGCCCTGAGATCTTTAGACAAACCTCAGATTCTCGCAGTTTGCTCCTGAGGGTCTGGATCGCGTTCTCTCTCTCCTCAACTTGTGCACGGCTGTCCTGCAGCTCTGTCTGCAGCAGCTGGGTGGCCTGTTTATGGTTGGACACCCTGTTGTTGGCGTTGATGTGAGCCACCTCCAACTGCTCATTCTGTAAACTCAGAGCCTGGAAAACAGAAATATCTGTCACCAGCTGTTGGTAGACGGGTCTCCCAGTCATGCTGTTTTAAGGTGAGACTGGAACCGATTGCTGAACAAAGACAGGTTAGGGAGAGATGAAATACATAGGCCTGTTCAAGTTACATGATAGACCAAACCCAACAATGTGTTCATCCTTCTCTCAGTGCTGTGACTCATCTTGCGTGTTTGTGGCTGAGACCTGAGCTCACTGCTTCCTGCTGAACGTGTCAAACTTTAACACCTCAAACAGTGTAGGTACTCAGGCAGGGGGGACAGTACATCTGTTGGGGACTATGTTCACTGGTGGTTGATGGCCTGAGTATTTGGGGTGGCAGGACAGTGTGTGTGTATGACTGAGTAAAAAAAAAAAACTAGTGTGTGTTCATGTTGAAGAAGGAACATGTCACCCAGAGCAACAGTGTGACTCACTAAGGTGATTTTATTTGTTGCTGGACAACAATGGATCTCAATGGCACAAAGAAATGAGACCTGAGATAGACTTTGGATACACACAGTTTGTTGACAAGAAAAAAAATGTAAATATCAGCTTCATTCTTTAATGTATTTTAATTAGCCACTAACTCTTATTGTTCAGCAGATAACTGCATATTTCAGGAGAAATCTTTCAAATGTGTTAAACTTACTACTTTAGTAGTACTAAAGTACTAAACTCGGCACAAATCCTCCTTCTGTGTCAAGTCGTACATTTAAAATTCATTCAAATGAATGGCCTCAGAGGCATAAACATACCAATTTTGGTCTTGTATCCACATTTGAAAGATTATTATAGTTATCTGCTGCACTATTAGTGATCTTGTGTAAACGATGTGCTGACCCACCATGAAGAGAGAGAAAGGATTTCTTTTCTAAGTTCGGTCTAAATCGAGTATAGACCGAAGAATCACGATGAGACGAGTGCACTGGTCTAACAACCGGTTTACACTACACTACACTACAACTAGATAAAACAGTGTTTCCTTTCAATAGCGACGACACGTGGCTTTCAGGCTTTTTTGTGGCTGATACTTTGTTGCGTCTTACAGTATAGAGGTGATAGAGATCAGGGGTTGATTGGGAACGAATAATAATAATAATAAAAATTAAAAAAATCGGGCCCAGACAGATGACCTGCCTCCTGTTCTAAAACCAGCTGTGGCGACTTGAGTTGAGTTGAGACGGAGCTAGTTTACACTGCTGCCACTTCTCCCTACACTGGTCTGAAACGATTTTGTCTCATGAATCTAATGAATCAGGTTTCTCATCTCCGTGGGGTTCAGTCATCTCATCCGAGAAGTGCCTGGTGCTAACTGATGTTAGACAGTCCTAAGCTCATTTCAAGCAGATATAAAAACAGACATACTTTGACTTGTTCTTGCGTTTGCTGGAGCTGAAGAACAAGTTGCTGGTTGTCCTTCAGCAGCGAGAGCTCTGTCTTCAGAGGAGCTCCCTCCAGCGCCTGCAGCAGTGTGGAACTTTTGCTCCTCTCCTCTGTGAGCTGAGAACAAGCCTGAGCCTCCAGCAGCTTCAGCTCTTCAAACACACCACTGTGTTCACCAATGATGCCCTGCATGAAGTGCACAGACAACATCACGATTGAAAGACAAGCAACGCTGCAATAAACACCCTAACTATAGCGGTCTGTTATTAAGGATATGTAGAAAAACAGGCAAGATGCTGAATCTCTAGATCACACAAAGCAGCAGTGAAGCATGAGAGTGTGTCTCTTTATGCATCAAAGGGTTAAATCATGTATTTATCAAGTTCCATAGAGGAGATTTCAAAATGTCCAGATATAGCCTACAAATACCCCAATATTACTTACAGACCATATTGCCCAGCCCTAATCTGGGGTCTTTCTGATTCAGTATTTAAAAACTTTTTTTTTTCTTCATCAGTCAAAACTAATCCAATTTAATTTATGACAAAGTAAAAATAACTGTTGGATCTGAGCTCAATCAGTGTTATATTGCGACTGATTCATGGACCTGGATCATTTGTGTGTCTGATTAAAAACCCTTCTATAGCATCTTTAGGTAACATCTCATGGGGAAAGACACACACCCCTAGTGATAAAGTACACAGTGACAGTCCACCATTGGTGTGTGTCAGATCTTTTCACATTTAGGTTTAGTAGTTTAAGACGTAGGTAAACCTTTGCAAAAAAAAAATCCTCAATCACATCAAAACACTGCTAACAGACAAATCCAGACACAACCTCCTCCTGCCTGTGGAGGAGGTGAATGTTACACACTACCTGCAGAGAGGTCTTCTTGCTGTGAACCACTGCAGACCTGCGCTCCAGCTCACAGCTCAGGATGTTGTCGAGCCTGCTGAAGCTGATTGGCTGGGTGGTGAAGAAGGCCTGCAGCTGCTCTTTGAACCTCTCCCTCTCTCTGGTCTCAGCAGACAGCTCACTGGGATAAGAAGCCATGTTGACCCAGAGCTTCTCCAGAACACCGGACATTTTCTACAAAGTCAGTAGAGTCGTCAGAAAGTTTGAGTGCAGTGATGTTGGACAGGTGTATATACTGTAATGTAGAAGTCGCAGGTTTGACAAACATGATCTGAGTGAGCTGTAGGACTGTACAAATAATCCAAATCTCAATATGGCCAAGTGCAAAATCCAAATCGAAGGAGCTGCAATTTTTCTGACGAGGGTAAAATGTGTCACAACATTGCTGTGCACTGTTAGCACTGTAAGTGCTGCGGTGCTACAGAGACGCTCTGGTCTGCAAATCATATTCTCCAGACATAAAGGAACACGATTGTTTGGTACAAGACCAACAAAAATCACATTATCATCATTTATTTTATATATTTTATATTTTTTGTCATTGAATCCTCCTCCTGCTCTGGATAAAGTCATTGACTATATAACTGTGGAAAAGGCTGAGGCACATTCTCACCTGATGGTAGAGCTGCCTCTTGTCCAGCAGCTCAGTCAGTCTGTGCTGCCACAGTGTGTTAAAGTCCTCGTCTTTGACAGAGTAGCTGGGAGCCTGCTCTCGGCACAACAGCACATCCAGCAGCCGCCTCTCCTCGAACACAGCTAGGTCTTTCTTCACCAACTCCTCAAACAGACACCTGTAGCTCTGGGCTCGTGCCCGCAGGTGAACCTGCGGAACAGACAGCACAAGTTTCTAGGTTACCACCTGATCAGAAGCATAAGACCTCTATGAAATTTCAAACAGGAAAAATATTGATATTTACCATAATGTTTCCCAGACTCTGAACAGTCTGTAGTCCCAGGTGACAGACAGTGTTATAGGAATTCATGGTGGGTTTTGGAAGAGAGGCCAGATGGTTAGGCTTCAGGGAACACTGCACTCTCAGGACCTTCGGCATGGACTGATATCTGGAACAGTTGTCAATAAAGTGCTGGAAACCTCTGAAGGACTCCTGCAATAACATCAGTTCAGTGGTGTCAGATTTAAGATTCCTTTAACATCATGTGCTTGAGTTCAATCAGTTCACAGGTGACGTTACCTGGAGCTGCTCAGTGGAGCTGTGCATCCTGGATGAGAGCGTCTCCTTGACTCCGGTGGTGCCCTGATCCAAACTACTCAGCTGCTCTCTGAGGGCAGACACGGTCGTGTTGGCTTCACTGAGTGACTGAGAGGAGGAGAGAAAAATAAAAGGTCAAACTTACAACATCCATGTTCATGTAGACCACACAGTCTTGTATGCAAATGGCTCCTCTGTCTCATGCTGCTCATCCCATCTTAAAACAACCTGATGCAGTTTACTAATGTGCCCTGTGTTTCATTATGGGAGATCAATATCCTCATCACTGTGAATGATATGGAAAGGTAGACGAGTCTTCACCAACATCGGAAAGAAACACTGAACCAGCTTTAAATGAGAGACGAAATGAGATGCACTGAGTCGGAGTAAATTCCAGGACCAACTCTGACCAGTAAACGCACGACTTAGGAAGACCACCTACTAGTGAGGCGTGGATCAGCTCTGATGTCATCCAAAGCCACATGGGTGAATAAATAATCGCCCCGCAAAATGTTCATTTCAAGATCTATAAATATTGATGACAAACTTACTTTCTGTATGTGTGTGTGTATCATCTGTTCTACTGTACTATTGTATTACATTCTGGAAAGATTTTGAAAGTTACATATTATGGAAAACATGTGATTAACATTGAACTGAAAATTATTATGACTCATTTTGAATGTAAGGAAAACAATTTATGCAATACTGTTAGCCTCCTGATATTACTACTGAACTTCCATATTCATAAAGTGAAATTTCTTAAATCAAATCCCTCATTTAAGTTGTTTCAAATGCGTGTCTGAAGAAGTAAGTCACTTAAAATTATGTAATTGTCTTTTTTATTTATTTATTTTTGATTATTGTTTTTCATGACACCTTGTTGGAATTTTTATTTATTTATTTTTGTCTCATTGTTTATACTTTTAAAATGGGAATAAAATGGAAATTAAGAAAATAACTAAATGGGAAATTAACTAAAGTAAATAAATAAAAAGAAATTATTCCATCGGCCTGAACTAATTATTTTCCCAATTTGGAGACTCGCCCCCGGTCACACATTACCATTATTTCTCAGTGATGATGATGATACAGTAACATGTTACACTGACGTCAGATTTATTTAAATTAAGTTATTTTTGGTAAAATAAAAATGGCAGCACATATTTCTACATTAGCCTGAACATGAAGTCATGAAATTCTCTGCTGCTCCCTGAACAAACTATTTAAAAAGCTAAAAATACCATTTGGCTACTGCTTAGAATAATAAATAAAATATAACAAGTTCAGTGTCTAATTTGTGACTGATGAAAAATGAAGCTTAGAAACACGTATGTGTTGTATGCAATTAATATTTTTCTCACACATCATATATTTTATTTCTCCCACCCACAACCCATCCTCTGTTAATCAGGTTAGTTTTAATGACCTGTCACTGCTGCCTTTCACTATTTCACACCATATAAACTGGAATGAATGACAAAGGGACTTTAAAACTTGAAGGCCTCATCTCAAATCAGAAACACATTTGTTAAGAGGTGAGCAGCTGCTTGCTTGTGTGTGACTCCCTGTGTTTTATCTGTACTGAGGTCTCCAATGGGAATACCTGATTAAATAAAGGTTCAAAATTTCCACTCATGACTGGTGTGGGACTGGAGACAAACCTGTTGTAAGGCATCTGCTTCAGCTTGAGTCTGAGTTTGTCTCTCCCCGTTCACTTGGAGCTGCTCCTTGAGCTGCTGCACCTGACAGCAACAAGAGAGAGACAGAGACAGCTTCGTCAGAACAGGTTCAGTTAGAATGAACACAGTTAACACGTGTTAGGCATCAGCTCAGTGGCCTCCTCAGCCTCATCCCTTTGATAGTTACTGTTCACATACAACATCACTCAGGACAGATAACAGACACATTCATGGCACAAAAAATCTATCTCTGAATGTTTACTATGAAAACTGCATGTTTTGTTCTCAGGTAACTCGGTCATCATATCCATTTACTTTCCAAAGCATATCTCAAGACTAAAGTCAGGCTCACAGGGTATGACATGACGTCATACTTTTGATGTGGGTTATAAATAGATGTTGATCATGAAAACTTGTACGTGTCTGCTGTTTGGGCTTCAACAGAAGTGAATGGGAGATAGAGCAAATCCTGGAAATGTGACATGCCTTAGAGTCTCATCCTTCAGAGGCAGCATTCGAAAACTTATTTAGTCACAGTGGTGCAACGAGACTGTCCCATTTCAAAGGCTCCTTCAAACACGTCCTTAATTTAATTAATGAGCTTTATACTGGCAGCAGGTGGGGTTTTGCCCACTTTGGACAGAGGTCCCCCATTTCCAGTCTTTAAGCTAAGCTAACTGTAGCTTTGTATTAACCAGACAGACATGAGAGTGGCACCAGTCTTCTCATCTATCTCGTGATGGAAAGCCAATAGGCTTGCCGTCCAAAAATGTCAAAATATTCCTTGAACCCTTTGGCAGTAAATGTTTTGGACCTACTTCCTGCTGCAGCCTGGCCTCTTGTTTTTCTCTCTCTGACTGCTGCTGCACGTTCAACTGCTGCTGCTCACTCAGTTCCTTAGAGATGGCTGACGTCTGTAGTTGGAGGAGAGCATAAATTAAATGACAACATAGAAGTGCTAGATTAAGTTACTACTGTTGGATTATCAAGGACTGTAACAGCACAAATGTACCATCTCCATCCTGTCCTCCAGCTCTGCTCTGAGCTGCTGCTTCTCCTGTCTCAGTCCCTCCAGTGTCTCCTGCAGCTGATCTCTCTCCTCACTGAGAGACGTCACTCTGCACAGCAGCTTCTCCGTCTCCTCTGAGGAGCTCTGAGTGCTGTTCTCCTTCTCAAACAACAGACTGTCTCTCTCTGCCTTAGTGTTCTTCAGTTTTTCTGTTAGAGTCTTTATCTGTGAAGAATGAAGCAGTTAAAGTGTCATCCTGCTCTGAAAACAAGCGTTTCATAAAAAGTAAATTCTTGCTGTTTATAACAAAGTGAGGTGTTAGACACTAACCTGTTGATCTGAAGAGCACTCCTTCTCCTGACACATCGTCTGCAGGTAAGAGTTCATCTTTTTCTGTTCACACAGCTCCTCTTGGACTGACTTCAGAAGATTTTGTGTTGTGGAAGCCTTAAACAAAACGTTAACTCACGTCAGCCTAATATACAAACGTCATATGAAGCAAATTTTTTTTTAATGTATTAAGTACAAAAAAAATGTACAAAACCACTAAAAAATGTATTATCATAGTTGAGTTGAAAGCACTTGTGACCAATTTCCCACCTTTTGCTGCAGATCATCTTCAAGCTGTTTCTTCTGCTCAGTAACGATGTGTAAAGATGTATTCAGCCGTGTCACCTGTTGAAACCGAAAAAACATTTTTGACAGCGAATTGATATGAGAAAGAAAATTAAACTAGAAATTATCAGTCTATTTCATATGAGCCCCAAAATGTATCTCACTGATGGATAAAACCAGTGCTCCATCACTGCTTGGTGCCAAACAGACATCAACCTCCAGCCACTGAAGTGATAAAACCTGCAGTTCCTCTAATGACCACTAGAGTCTGGCTCCAACAGTGAGTCAGTCCCCATAGACTCCCATGTTAAAATGTCCAACTTCAGAGCAGAAATAAACATGTTTACAGCCTGGTACAAAAACTGTTTTGGTCTCTATAGTTAATTTCCTCCTTCATGACACCTGTTTATATAACTCACCTGTTCACATTTTATTAAGGCTTAAAGTTATGTAGAATTGAGGGCTGCTTTGAGTGACAGGTCAGTGCTTTCACTGGTGTCTAGCTGTTCTGTGTCACCTCAGACATGTTTGTGGCGCTTTTGGAGGATTTTTCATGTAAACATCAGACAGATAATTTGACTTGTACAGTTAACGCTCCTGTTGAGTGAAATTCTAGTATTATTCTATTATATGTTAGCACTAACTTGCAGGAATCAGTGTCTGCACTCACCATACCTGACTTATCTTAGCTTTTTAACTATTAAATTAGCCAGCAAATGAATTAGCATTTGATTAGCCTTTGAGCTCGGATTTTATGTTATTTTGGCCTTTTAATACATTTATCAGGTTTGATGCTCAAAGTGAAAGGCTAAAAAAAAAAAAAAATAGATTTCACATCAATGTGCATGTGCAGATGTGGAAGTTGGTTCAATTAAGCTTTGAATCAAAATGTTCAATCACAACTGCACATTATGTGAACAAAAATACACTGCTCAAAAAAATGAAGGGAACACTTAATCATCACACTATAACACCAAGTCAATTAAACTTCAGGGATATCAATCTGTCCATTTAGGAAGAACAAGTGATTGTGTATCAGTTTCAGCTGCTTTGGTGCAAATGAAAGTGACAACAGGTGCAATGGAGAAGCAACAGCAAGACAACCCCCAAAAAGGGAATGGTTTTATGTGGTGGCCACAGCCAGTTGCTCTCTCCTGATCCTTCCTGACTGATTCTTCTCTAGTTCTGTGTTTTGCTGGTGTCCTTGTTACTACTGGTAGCATGAGGCGGTACCTGCAGCTCAATCAGGTTGCACAGGTATTCCAGCTCCTCCAGGATGGCACATCCATACGTGCGGTTGCAAGAAGGTTTGCTGTGTCTCCCAGCACAGTCTCAAGAGCATGGAGGAGATACCAGGAGACCGGCTGTTACACGAGGAGAGCTGGACAGGGATGTAGAAGGGCATCAACCCAGCAGCAGGACCGGTACCTGCTCCTTTGCGAAGAGGAACAGGAGGAGCACTGCCAGAGCCCTACAACATGACCTCCAGCAGGCTACTGGTGTGCGTGTTTCTGACCAAACTGTCAGAAACAGACTCCATGACAGTGGCATGAGGGCCCCACGTCCTCTAGTGGGACCTGTGCTCACAGCCCAGCACCCTGTGGCATTCGTCAGAGAATACTAGAATTGGCAGGTCTTTCATTGGCGCCCCATTCTCTTCACAGATGAGAGCAGGTTCACACTGAGCACATGTGACAATGGTCTGGAGACGCCGTGGTGAACATTATGCTGCCTGTAACATCATCCAGCATGACCAGTTTGGCGGTGGGTCAGTGATGGTCTGGGGAGGCATAGCCAGCAATACCCTGACTGCTGTTAGGTACCGGGATGAAATCCTCAGAGTGATTGTCAGACCACACACTGGTGCAGTGGCCCTGGGTTCCTCCTGGTGCAGGACAATGCCCGGCCTCATGTGGCCAGAGTGTGTAGGCAGTTCCATGATGACAGGCATTGATGCCATTGACTGGCCCTCACGTTCCCCTGACCTAAATCCAATTGAGCACCTATGGGACGTTATGTATCGGTGCATCCAACGCTGCCAAGTACTGCCACAGACCGTCCAGGAGCTCACTGATGCCCTGATCCAGACCTGGGAGGAGATCCCTCAGGACACCATCCGCCGACTCATCAGGAGCATGCCCAGATGTTGTCAGGAGTGCGTACAGGCACATGGGGGCCACACACACTACTGAGTCACATTATGAGTTGCCGTGATGAAAAGTCACACAAGTTGGATCAGCCTGTGATTTCAATTTTTTACTTTGATTCTGGGTGTGATTGTGAATCCAGCCCTCAGTGGGTTGATCATTTTGGTTTCCTTCGACCGTTGTTACGTCATTTTGTTCTCAACAAATTATACAATGTACATCAGTAAAGATTTTCAACTTGAATAATTCGTTCAAGATCCCAAGTGTGATTGAAGTGTTCCCTTAATTTTATTGAGCAGTGTACATGGTGCTGAGTGACATACCTCAGTCTGTACCATCTCCATCCTGTCCTCCAGCTCTGCTCTGAGCTGCTGCTTCTCCTGTCTCAGTCCCTCCAGTGTCTCCTGCAGCTGATCTCTCTCCTCACTGAGAGACGTCACTCTGCACAGCAGCTTCTCCGTCTCCTCTGAGGAGCTCTGAGTGCTGTTCTCCTTCTCAAACAACAGATTGTCTCTCTGTGCTTGAACCTTCTCAAGCTCCTCCATTAGAGTCTTTGTCTGTTTTAATGGAAGCATAACCATGTAAGAACACCAACAATAAAGGATCTGTTTTAAAAATATCTCTCCTTAACCTTTGAGCTCACCTGCTGCTGTGAGTCAGATTCCTTCTGCTCACACAGTTTCACCAGATCTGAGTTCTTTTGCTTCTGCTGTTGCAGGTCGTCTTGAAGAGAATGTAGAAGACACAGAGTCTCTGCAGACTGAGAATAAGAGAACGTTTGGAAACTTTGAAAAAGATCAGAAGGGCCACAGTACTTCTGAAAAGGCATGTCCATGTGCAGCTTTAGTGAAATATGCTGGAAGGAACAAACCTCTTGTTGTAGCCGAGCTTGGCTCTCTTGGCTTTGTCTCTCCAGGTCAAGGTTTCTTTGGTTCTGCTCTTGTAGAGCTGTGGCCTAAAATTAAAGAGACACTTAAACAGTTGCATTCGCCCATATAAGAGGGAAGCTCTTTAACATCACTGACATTGTGGTCACACTGTGACGCCAAAACATTAGATCTCAGTTTGACCAAAAACAGCTTCCCCTCACCATCTCCTTATTTTGCTGCAGATCACTTTCCAACTGGCTCTTCTGCTCACTGACGACCTGGAGAGAAGCCTGCAGTTGCTCCACCTATGGAGGGAAATGGTCAAACTCCAGAATTAAAATATTTCCAACCAAGGACCAGAGCTTTGAAGGATCCCATCAACAAATCCCATGAAATGACCCAAATAAACGATGTGAGTCCATCTGTGAAAATGGTTCGACTTCCCTGTCCTTTCTGTGGCTCTCAGCTGAGCCCATTTGTTCCTCCTGATGACCTGTATCTTTAGAAACAGCTCACAGATATATATAGTTCCATTTTTCAAAAAGCAATTTATTTTCTAAAAGCAGCTGGCAACTATGGCCTTTAGCAAATGTGACTCAAACAGCAGGAAACAGTGCATTCATGGGGACTATTTTCAGTGGTGGATGAATCTGTATTTGGGGCAGCATGATGACCCTTGTAGGACTGAATCAAAGTGAACTACAGTGTGTAATTGTGTGGTTTTAATAGCTTTTGAACAACAGTGGAGCTCCATGGCTCAGAGGAATAAGATACATCAGGCTGTGGACATACAAACACTTCTTGTTTGTGGGACACATTCAGTGTTGCTTTGAGTCTTTTGTGGGATTTGTTGACAATAAGGAGGAAGTAAAGTCAATTTTTATTTATATAGCCAAATATCACAAATTTGCTTCTAAGGCCTTAACAATCTTTACAGCTTTAAGACCCCACCTGTCCTTAGACCCTCAAGTCAGACAAGGAAAATAATCACTTTCCTTTCTCAGCAGATTGAGATTCAATAGATATGAAAAAAAATCAGTCACATATAAAAGCAATGTAAACATACCATCTCCATCCTGTCCTCCAGCTCTGCTCTGAGCTGCTGCGTCTCCTGTCTCAGTCCCTCCAGTGTCTCCTGCAGCTGATCTCTCTCCTCACTGAGAGACGTCACTCTGCACAGCAGCTTCTCCGTCTCCTCTGAGGAGCTCTGAGTGCTGGCTGTCCTCTCTGACAGTAGATTGTCTCTCTCTGCCCGCACACGCTCATACTCCTCAGTCAGACTCTGAATCTGTGAGGAAAGAGCCAATGCTAATTTGACATATTGGGAACATCACAAATGTAATACCTGTACTTGAATAAGGTTTTTAAAAAAAGTTTAGATGTAATCATCTAAAAAAAAGTCAATTCTGTCCCTCTGTATTTTCATGTGTAAGAGTCTTGCCTGATTCTGAACCGCTTGTATCTGGAGCGTGCTCTCTGCACCCCCCCCACTGTGTGGGCTGCTCTGCAGCTCTGCCTTCTGACTCCTCAGCATGCTGATCTCATTCTGGAGAACTTTGATCTTCTCCTGCGATGCTCTCAGATCCTCCTGGTTCTCGATCATCTGAAACACATGAGCATCACACCAGTTTACAAGTGAAGATCTTTTCTGTACAAAAGGAGTGTACAATAACCACCTGCAGTGTCTCATTACTAATGCTGCAGCAGTTGGCAGGTCAATTGGTCAGTGGATCAATTTGCTGTTTTTGCTATATATAAAATACATGCTGCAAAAATCATCACCTATGCACGCCAGCAGCCCTGCGCTTCACTTTTTTCAGATCATCAGTGTCTGATCCAAACGTTCCCTGAGGTCACTTCATGCTGGCTTATTAAAAGTTCCATAAATAAACTGCAAAAACTACAGGGAAGCAACCTCTTGATATATTCAAGAAGCAGCTCCAAACTTATTACTATGCTTTTGCTTCTGATTAAATCAAACTTTATATTAGATTTCTTTCATTTCGTTTTATGGTTTTCATATCTTAAAATTGCTTGTACTACTATCAGTATCCTCTTATCTCATCTCTTACTTTCTCAGGATGTCATTGCTTCATTGTCTTTTATTGCTTTAACGTGTCCTGTCTATGTGTCTGTTGTCTTGTTATAACACCTCTTCTTGTAAAGCGCTTTGAGCTTAATTTCATCTTATTTAAGGTGCTATAGAAATAAAGTTTAGTATCATTATGTAGAAGGCCTCAATGTGTAGTAATTAAAGGAATGAGAAAAGAAAACTCACCAGTTCTACATTCTCTTGGAGGTCAGACTTCAACTGGCTCACTTCTTCCTTCCTTTCCTCCAGCTGCTTTTCCAGCTGTTGGACCTGAGGCACGATGGAGGGATCATTAACATTTTCAACATTATTCTCTTGTGAGACTTTTATCTGCTGAAGAAAACAGCAGAATGCATAAGCAATGACAAACAGGAATCATTAACCTCCAAAGGAACAATGTAGCCCTGTGCCAGTTTCTTCTTGTTCAACATTCGAGCAAAACGAAATAAAATAAAAATGTCAATGTGGTGTAACAAGGAGAAGATGTGGATCTGACCTGTTCAAGCTGTTGAGCCTCCTGCTCCTCTTTCAGTGACAGTGGCTCAGAGCCGAGATGCTGCTGTAACTCACATTGCATCTACATGGTAGGGAGGGAGGACATGTTAGTTTGGTCTGGGGTTTTTAAATTATGACTTTCTACATCACTCTTTTCACCGGTTTGATAACAATGTTCTACACTTTTTTTTTTTTTATATTTGATTATTTCATATGTGAAGAGAATGGGAGCAGTATTGTTGGACTATGGCTGAATTCAACATTAAGGTGATCTGAGTTCTGTTGAACAGCACTGTGCAGCTGACCCCACTGTTCAGGTTCAGGCAAATCTGGTTAAGCCACTCGTTGAACTTTGTATATTTTGTACATGATTTAGTTCAGTTAATCTAAAGAATACAAACAATGACGAACTGTAAACTGAATATTAACATTAAAGTGAGTTTTATTACCGTAACAAACTGCAATTTCAGATATGACTTCTTTATTTAGGTAAAACATGAAGAGCCAATATGGTTTGAGGGAAGCGTTTCTCTCTGTGTAACTGATATTCTCCCGTATTTGAACACAGACAGAACTCAGGGCCAGATTTTAGCAAAAATGAACAGGAAGTAACAGAATCTCAATTTACAACTTTCAGCCTGTGTTTTTACCATCTCCATCCTGTCCTCCAGCTCTGCTCTGAGCTGCTGCTTCTCCTGTCTCAGTCCCTCCAGTGTCTCCTGCAGCTGATCTCTCTCCTCACTGAGAGACGTCACTCTGCACAGCAGCTTCTCCGTCTCCTCTGAGGAGCTCTGAGTGCTGTTCTCCTTCTCAAACAACAGATTGTCTCTCTGTGCTTGAACCTTCTCAAGCTCCTCCATTAGAGTCTTTGTCTGTTTTAATGGAAGCATAACCATGTAAGAACAGCAACAATAAAGGATCTGTTTTAAAAATATCTCTCCTTAACCTTTGAGCTCACCTGCTGCTGTGAGTCAGATTCCTTCTGCTCACACAGTTTCACCAGATCTGAGTTCTTTTGCTTCTGCTGTTGCAGGTCGTCTTGAAGAGAATGTAGAAGACACAGAGTCTCTGCAGACTGAGAATAAGAGAACGTTTGGAAACTTTGAAAAAGATCAGAGGGGCCACAGTACTTCTGAAAAGGCATGTCCATGTGCAGCTTTAGTGAAATATGCTGGAAAGAACAAACCTCTTGTTGTAGCCGAGCTTGGCTCTCTTGGCTTTGTCTCTCCAGGTCAAGGTTTCTTTGGTTCTGCTCTTGTAGAGCTGTGGCCTAAAATTAAAGAGACACTTAAACAGTTGCATTCGCCCATATAAGAGGGAAGCTCTTTAACATCACTGACATTGTGGTCACACTTGGACAAGGAATGATTAGTTCAGCTGATGTAACAAGCTACAAAGAATATCTAAGATACAGAAACAAACTCATTCATGTCAGTTATGAGAGAGTATAGTCAACGTCATAAAATGTTGAGGAGATAAACAGATTTGCCTTGTGATTTTAAGAAAAGAAGAACAGTCACTCACCATCTCCTTGTTTTGCTGCAGGTCCAGTCTGAGCTGGTCTCTCTCTGCAGTCACTAATGTAACAGTAGAGAGCAGCTTCTCCGTCTCCTCCGCAGAGCTCTGAGCTCCAGACCGGACAGCGTCTCTCTCAGCCTGCAGTGCCTCCAGCTCCTCACCCAGCTGGCTCAGCTAGAAATATCCAAGGGGTTACATTCATTATGTTAATGTACGTGTGGCATATAACAATAATCACCTTCATGACTGTTGATTAGACTTCATAAGTTATAGCTAGGCGTTCCTAATAAACTGTATATTAAAAGCATATTCATGTATATGTAAACTGATGTTAGAAATTATATACAAAAATCTTAAGCATGCTCTTGCATCTATTATTTATATTATGTAGCTTACCTTCAAGGCTCTCTCTTCATTGATAGCCATGAGCTGGCTCCTCTCAGAATCCAAGCGCTGCAGGTCTGAGTGGAGTGACTCCAGCTGCTGTGTCACATCAGCACACTGGTGGCTCAGCTCCGTCTCCCTCTGAGCAGCGGCTCTAAGGTCTGCTTCGATTTTCTGGATCTCATCCTGAGACGTCTGCAGGGAGCCTCTGAGCTGCTGAGCCTCCTCTTGACAATGAGAGTGAGCTGACAGCAGGCTGTCCCTTTCAGTTTTAACAGTACACAACTCCTCGGTCAACTCACAAACCTGAGATAACACACAACCAAGTCACATGATTACTGTACTGTTATCCTCTGACACTACCATTAGAGGATGTCTGAAGGATTTACCTGCTTCATCAAGTTGCCCACCTTATTTGGAAGAGTCTGAAGTGAGGCCAACTCCTCCAGCCTTGCTCTGTGAGCTGCCTCAGTTTTGCGACTCGCTGTCAGCTCTTTATTCAGATTGCCCACCGCCCGCTCAAGCTCCACATTATCAATCAGACCTGAGACAGAAAACATCTTTCAACTCTCATCGACGTGCACGGCACACTGAGAGGAATGAATACGACAAAGGGAGTGTCTGTGCTCACAACCTGATCAGCAGAGTTACATTATATAAACACTCCCGCTTGAACACCTACTTTTTGGGACTTTGCCGTCTAGCAGAGCATTGAGCTTGGTGTTCTCATCGAACGCAACGTTCAGTTCTTTTTGGAGGTCGCTCTGCATCTTTTTGTAGTGTGACTTCTCCGTCTCCAGTTGGAAACGCAGGCTGTTCACCTCAGCCTCCATCTTGTTGTGGTTGGCAGTCAGGGTGACCTGGAGAGGAGACAAGACACTCTACATAAAAAAGATGCAGATATTTGTCTTGGTGTCACTAGTACATCTATAACAAAACACAGAAACACATGGTTCCAAAGAGCCGACCATGTACTGCATGCGTGTCACCATTTTACTTGATCATCAACCACACAGGTTAAATTTTTGCCTCTCTCTCCTCATGTCTCAGAGTCTTTGAATTCTGTTTGGCAAACTGTCAACCGTCATGTCTTTTACTCAGCGTGAACACCAGGCCAAGCTGGTTAAGGCAATTCCTGGTGGTGGCAGCATTAGTCTGTGGGACAGCTTCTAAGCAGCAGGGACAGGGAGACTGGTCAGACATGAGGGAACAGGTCCTTGAAGAAAACCTGCTCAAGAGGGGTGGGGTGGGGTGGGGTGACTCATTTGCAATTGGTAATTTATTTGCAAAGATATCTAAAAATCTGTTTTCACTTCGTCATTATGGCTTATTGAGTGGGGATTGATAAAATGAAAACTACAACACAATGAAGTGTGCAAAAAGTGAACTTTCTGAACTGAAAATGCATTTACTTGCTCCACATGCTGATTATGGGAGCAGTCAAGGAAGTGATCTGCTGCAAGATCATTTGGCAACCATGGTAACCTGCATGTGTCAGCATGTGGACTAGCTATTTTCCTTGATAAAGTTCAGATGGGACTGATGTCTCAGGATATTTGTTTCATTATATCTGTATGATAGTATTAACTGTTTCATCAAAATGATGACGTCAACTAACGTTCATTTCCTCCAGAGCGATGTTTTGACTGCGCAGAACAGCCCAATCCTTCTTTGTGTCTCTGCTGACTCCTTCTGCATCATCCAGAGAGCGACGGAGTTTGGCCACCTCCTGCACCAGGTCCTTGTTGTCCTGGAGGGAGATGACAGGATAGAGTTGGCCCACTTAACAACAGAAGTCACCTGCTTAATTACTGACCAATTCAACCGATCTAAGCTCTTAAACTTTACAGCCTGTCTTCAGAATACTGGGCCTTCACTACCTCACTGCTTTAATCATTACCAGGATTAGTGTGAAGATGCTTGTTAGTGATGGAGTAGTGTTTCAAAGTGTATAAGGTTCAACATGACACTTGTGTTGATTGAATGTCAGCACACAGACCCAACAGGGTTGTTATGGTGTTTGGCTGGTGTATACCCGGGTAGTGAGGATTTTTAGGGAATCCTCTGTAGGGTTTGACTGGGTTTCATAAATTTGTCAGACTGAGACTGACTGGCACCCCTACTCCCCAGAAAAACGCCACAACATGCTGTGGACCGAGGTCAGAGCTCACACCAGACATCCAGAGAATCTGTCTGAGGTGAAGCAGCTGAATAAGGACGAATGGTCCAAAACTCCTTCAACCAGTTATTAGATTCAGGGGTCACTTTTTTTTCTGGCTACTGTACATTGTAAATATTGAACAACCTGCTTTTGCAAAACTGAACTTAGTCATGTATTTAAACTGATTTGAATTTATTATATTTTTAACCAATGTAAACAAAAAAGAAATGCTTTAGTACAAATACATCACTAACTCCTCCCCAGATATCTATCATCTAGGACAGGGGTTTTCAAAGTGTGGGAAAGTGAGCCCCCCTCTATTTTTATTTTTAAATGTCTTTTGGACACACCTTTTGAACTAATTTCCATATTATTTAACACATCACACTAAGTCAGGCAATGAACGAAACCTTGACTGCGCACCAGTCACAACGCTGCTTTTCAAATCACTGTCTCAACATTGTGCGAAAATCCTTTCTATATATGCTCTCAGCAAGAAACTGATTTTGCCTCCTTATTATGTGGCTGAGAGGCAAGGAATGGCTGTAGTAGTAGTTCTCTGCTGAAACTCATTCTGTCATTTCATTGACGGCTTTATGTTGCACGTTTGATATTTACAGGTGACAAGAAAACACATACCAAATTCTGAAGTTCCTCTGCAAATTCAGTTTTCCTCTTTAGCTCCTCAGAGAGAGTTTCTATTTTGTTCTGGAAAAACAAACAAACAACAAACAAAGTTTCCATAATTTGAAGGTTTAGCTTGTAAATGATCTTAGGACTAATTTCAGAATTTAACACTAAAAGGTGAAAAACCAAGTTGAAACGTTGTACACATTAAAGCCAGATGTGTGACTTGGGTCCACACTGACGAAGCAGACAGGTGAGTTTGTACCAACTCTGTGAACCAACAGTGTGTTGGGGCTTAAAGACCGTTTCACTCGGTAAACGCTGTGATACATGTGATATTAGTATATTGTATGTATGTGGACTGTTACTGACAGTATTCTCACTCAAAATAAACTCCCACTCTGTTCAAGATTTAATAAACCTGAGCATGCAAGCTCACCTGAAGCTCCTGGCATTGCAGTTCAAAGGATTCATTGATCTTCTTCAAGCTGGAGATTTCATTTCGGAACTCGTCCTGCAAGTTTGTACAAGCAAAATGAACACAGCGTAAATAAATAGTTTTTTCACAAAAATCTAAGAAAAAAACATATTTAGTAATGGAAATTTTTGCAGTGAAAAATAAAAAAATATATTTAAAAGAACAAAGCCAAACCCTGGACATCTAACTCTTCACTGGTAGTGGAGTCTGAATGAATGAATGAATGGATGGATAACTTCACCTCTAACTCCATCCTGCACTCCTCCTCCAGAGATTGGAACTCATCCAGCTTTCCCTTCTCCTCCAGCTCTTGTGACAGAGCAGCTTTCTCAGTCTCCAGAATCTCAGTCTGCTCTATGAACATGCCCAGTTCCTGCTTCATATAGTCTCGCTCAGCAATCACCGCATCCTAGAAACATTTCATCAGACAGAAAGCATTTACAGTTGAAATGAATTTTCATCATAGTAGTTTGAATAACTGCTTGTACTTTTATTGTTGAGATAATTTTATGTGATTCCAAATGTAAAATCACTAGTCAACTTCATAACTTAATAAGCCCCCTGTGAAACAATTTCTGAATCACAACACTGAAAATTCATACAATAGGATAACAGGATTTTCCCTTCTGTCATGTGCAAAGCAGGCTGCTGAGTTGTGAGATTAGTTGGTCACAGCAGTTACCTTCTCTGAAGCTAGAGTTTCACACAGCTGGATGGTTTCTGCAAACTCTCTTCTCATCTGGAAAACAAGGTATAACAGTTTTCAAACGGTGCTGTACGTGTGTTGTGGTCATTGAGTATTTATTCTGTCACCTGTAAGGTAAAGAGCAGGTACATTCAAACTCATCACACCTGTTCGCTTTCAGTCTGAGCATGGCTCTGGTCTTCCAGCTGTCTCTCAAGGTCTGCAGTTCTCAACTGGAACATCTCTGCCCGCTCCACAGCCTCCATCTTCTGCTGGGCCTCTGCTTCCAGCTTCAGCTCCAGGGCGGACACTTTCTCTGAAAGCTCACGCATCTGATCTGGACACGCACAGACTTTGGGACTGGCAATGAGATAAAACACACAGATGAAGAATACGTCCAACAACTGTGAACTACCTACAAACACTCCCAGACCTGGGCTTTATTCCACATACTGTTACCTCAAGCCGGAGCTTGAGTTTGCTGGAGCATAAATGTACAGTATAAAAGCCACACAGTGAAAAGCCAGAAGTTTCTTTTTCAGTTTCAGTATGTGACAATGTGAGCTGGTGTGTGAGAGCACTGGGGTGAGGGAATTCTAGAGGATTAAACCTTTGACCCATTCACCATGTTAGCGTTGGTTATATCATATATACCTGGAGATAATAGAAACTGGCCAAACCATTAATACTGAGGTATCTGTCCCTTTGATTAGACTGGTTGTAATAGAGCAGGGCTTTTCAAAGTCAGACAACTCAAAAAACTAAAAATCAACACATTTAGTCACTTATAAAACACACAATAATCCTATACAAACTATATTTCTTACTTGTACTGTATGTGGAGGATAAACACGCTCCAAGCTTTGGAACTGCAGTTCCCATAATGCTCTGGGAGATTTAAAGAGGAAGTGTAAAGTTGAGATGAATTCAGTGAGTTACACTGTGGTCAACAACTTGAGCCGTTTTTTTTTTTTAAAGCTATACGAGTTTCCAGTTTAGTTAACTAGTATCTTTAAAAGTATCTGAATCATAGCATGTGTTACCCATGTGTGTACAGACAACCATCACTGGATCACTGATACTGAGGAAACCTTAAAACCCTGATGATTCTCTGCAGTTATAAAGAACGAAAACAATAGATTTAATTAGCTTCCTGTTGGTTTTACAACACTAGCATACACCTGTCCCTTTCGCCTAACATTGTATCTTTACCTCACATCCCTCCCTACCTACGACAGCAATGTTGCAAATCAATGTGCAGAACTGCAGTGACACAACACTGGACTTACAAGACTTCTGTATCAGTGTGATAAACTACCTTCACTTGTCAGGTTTTACATTTACTGGGTCAGGCAAAAACAAACACCCTCCTTTTATTTCATTCTATTAAGAAACATTTTCCAAATTAACTTCCAGAACATTTAATATAACACAATAATATTGATATCGTCATATAAAATTACATATACTGTTATATAAGACTTTATCCATATCACCTCTAATATATGTCCATGAAACAGAATATAACAAAACTTGATTCATGACATAGCTGCCATCTTGAGAATGACAACTAATGTAACCATTAGTAGAAAGACATTCACCTGTCGCCAAAGTTTTGAGCAGTCACAGAGCTCCGACTCATCTCCATGTCGTCTGGCTCGTCAGGAATCTCCCAGTGAGAGTAAAAGATCTCCTCATCTATTGAGACAAACCATGTATGCATTAAACCAACAATCACATGCAGTGCAGCTCATGTGTGAAAAGGGAATAATAGTGTCACCCATGATTTGCAGTGTGCATATCTTACCTTCAGCCAGCTCCGTCAGACAGGAGTGGTCAGCTTTCCTCTTCTGAGCAAAAGACCCTGCAAAGCTGAGGTCTGATGGACCACCATCAGAGTCCGGCAGATTGGAAAGTCTGAGCATCTTTCCTCCCCACGTAACTCTGCGCTTAGGCATCTTAAAAACAGAACAAGAGTTATTATGAGTATGAGAATAAATAGAAAGCTGGAGTCTGACCACAGCTGCATTTTGTGACAGATACCTTTTTAACGGGAACCAGGTTGGAGCTGGTGACGATCAGTTTGGTCAGGTTTCTGATCCTGTCCTGCTGTTCTCTCTGGAGCTGGTCCCTCTCTTGGAGCAGCTGGGAGAGCACCTCCTTCTCAGTTGCGGTGGTCTGTGTGATTGAAGAAACCTGTAGGAGGTGGTCCTCAGGTTAGTGCTGCCATGATGGGCCAAACAGAACATGACGGAAGAAAAGCAGAATGACAACACTTGCCTCTTGAAGTCGTCGCTTGAGGTCTACAATTTCATTGCGATACCTTTTGAGCAGAGCCCCATCATCAGACACCTCTGTCACATGGGGGTCATTCTTCATTTTCTTTGCAGTGCTGGCAAACTAATAAAGAAACATTTTGTGAAACATGAGCTGCTTTGATCAGTCTTATGCTTTCACCCATAACTGTGATGTTTGGAGGTTAAGGACAGATCCAACCCAGATATCCCAACGCAAAGCTGCAGAGCTTCATCTCACATAAATGTACAGCAAAGGATCAAACCCAAATGTCAACGTGGGGGTACGGAGGTGTGCAGCACAGTAGTCCACCAACCTGCAGAGTGCTGAGTGTCTCATCTAGAGCAACAGGAGTGATGGTACAGATGATGACTGTTTTAGCGTTCCCACCAAGAGAGTTCTGCAGGATGCGGGTTAGTTTACTGTCTCTGTAGTTGGTGAAACCCCTGAAGAGAGACAATGGGATTCAGCACATGTCAGCAGCTTGAATTTAATGATGAAGACAATACAAAGACGCTGTTAATAACTGCTTTTAAAATTAGAGCCCAACTGATTTATCAGTCTGCCAATTTTATCGGCTGATATTGGCCTATCACAGATATATTGGTATCTGTGCATATATTCTCCGATATGCGTTGATATGAATATTAGAGGCAATAATGCAGTGGAAATGCTCGGGTCAAGTCAAGTTATAGAGACAGCATTTTATGTATGTTTGATCCTTCGTTTTCATTCACATTAAATGCGTATATATATCATCATTTTATCATTTTATGAAGTTAAGTCATCAGATACATGACTCGAGTCCAAGTTATGTGACCCAAGTCCACACCTCTGATTGAAACCATTATCAGCATTCAATTTATTGCTAAGGTAAATGTGTCGGCAACCATCCAAGCATGCACTGGGGCAATGGGTTCATGGGCATAAGGCTCATTTTGTTTATTCTTGCTGTTGGTTCCGTAATGTTTCCACAGTTAAACAGATATTACCAGTGACTGAGCTGAGACTTTGAGTGATGCTGGTGAATGAATGTGTGTTCACCCCAGTGTACATGCAGGAGATTTTTTTGCGGATAATCATGAACATGCCACGAAAAGGCAATCCAAGTGATCAAATTATTTGGATTTTCTTAGTTTCTAATGTACACAAAGACAGGGCCCTGGAGTCAGGATGTAGTTAGCCTAGCTTAGCATAAAGACTGGAAGCACAGGGAAACTGCTAACCTGGCTACGGCCCTCTAGTTGGCTAGTTAAAAAATAACTAGCCAACTAGCCCTTCGTCTGGAGCAATGTCCTGCCCACAGCACTGATTTGATCGATTACACGTCACAAGTAATAGCCTATCAACACTGAAGGTCAGACTGGAGCAGCTCCAGTGAGCGAGCAGAAGTGTGTTGAAGGTAGGCAGCAGATGTGGCCTAAAGCAGGGTTCAGATGACAAATCTGGTCCTAGACCCTGATTCGTACCAGATTATCTGGTAACGTGAGTTTCACAGACCCAGTCTTAAATCTCCTGAACTCTTCGGTGCCATGCCAATAATACCATACATGTTTCACGATTACATCAGTCCTGTAGCAACCCACAGTGTTGCCAAGCAAAGGTAAAATAACGTAGACTAACATACTACTGCTGACACATAATAAAACTTACAATTAAAATCCCACCTCCAGTTCTCACTAAAGAAATCTGTGTTGACTGTGATAATCAGTATCAGAATCAGCCCTGAAAAGACATATTGGTCAAGCCCTTCTACCAACACTTCTAAAGGTGACTAATGAGCATGCATCTCCATTATTTAATCTCTAAACAGACAAATATAAACATGACAGGTGGTGGTTTTTGGGAGTTATGTTCTAACAACCTAATGTGCATAGCTGGAGAAAGAAGAAATCGTTCTGGCTTCAAATGAAGCAACTAAGCGTTTGTAAAATGTTGAACTGTTACTTTAAGATGACAGCTTAATGAGGTGTAGGAGAATCATGGCCAGTGAAAATATATCTGGACCTGTAAGACTCGACCAAACTGGATGTGTCAATGGTATAATTCAGATTACACTAAATGATAAATTATGTTAGTAATATAATAAATCCATTGAATGTCCACTGTTTACTCACTTCTGGCTTTCATCAGTCACTTTCTTGATCACTTGGCCGAGTGTGAACAGACTGCGATTGATATTGCAACCTTCTTTCAAACGTGCACCTTAGATAAAAACAAAGCAAACTCACTATACTCTGTGGTGTATTCACAGTAAATGCGAACACAACATCAGGCCTGGTACAGCATGCATTTCATATTTCATGGATTTATGTCTCTTACCTTCAGCTCCTGTTTGACTTGCTCTCTCAGATCCAGCTAGATCAACTAAATTCTACAAGATTAAACCAGTGAACAAAACATTACAACAAAAGTATGACACAGAGAACAAGATAGAAAGCAAAGTTAACAGAAAAATAGAATATAAGCCATAAAAAAAAAAGAAAGAAAAGCAGCTAGTTACCAAATGAGACACAAGAATGGCTCCATCCACATTTTCACCTGATGCTGGATCGCTCCTTTCACGACTCTCCAGGATCTAAGGAAAGCAAAATCATGACAAATCCCCACTTCCTATGAATCCTACATGTTACTGAATGTTGTAGTTTTGCTTACCATTCGGAAAATGGTGTGTGAGCGGCTGCTCCGCTGGTTCATTTTTGTTTTTCCATAGTGGCGGTTCTCTACAAAAGGCAGATAGTGTAGAAAATGTGTTGGTTGTCACACACAGCGTCACTCTGATGTTCAGTAATAACCTCAGATCTTACTTTCTCCTTTCCGAATCCAGGCTAGGGCTTGTGCTGAAGATACAACCATTTCCTCAGTCAGGTCAGCCACATAGATGTTTTTCTGCACACAGTAATTATCAAGACAGAATCATGATCATGTAAAACAAGAAAGTGTATATTTTTATGGGTTCTGCCTTTGAGTACTATACTCTGAAACATGTTCCTAAGGAGCATAGACCACTATATTTTAAGTCACCTCTTAAAAAGAGTTCTCCAGTGATTAAATAGACTGGATCCCACACTCCCTACAACACAACTCCATATCATGTTATTAGACAGATGCACATAATGAAACAGCTGGATTCTAAGCTGCCACCATAAACTGTAAATAAAGATGGACATAGCCTCTGTGACGTCACCCACAGGTTTCTGAAGAGTTGTTTTGAAGCTCAGAGTGAGCTGCGCCACTGTTGCCATCTAGGCAGTGTCTTGACAAAAGAGGAGGGTGTGTGTGGAGCTGAGACTTCGGTGCATGTTGGTTTGTGGCCACACCCTCAATTATTCATAACTTTAAGCCTTAATAAAATGGAGTCTATGGGGACTGACTCACTGTTGGAGCCAGACTCTGGTGGTCATTAGAGAAACTACGGTTTTTGGTAATTCAGTGTTGGCTTCATTTTTCGGCCTCAGAGGTTGATGCTTGGCTGCCACTCATCCTTGATGCTACCAGTGGTCACTCACAATACTGCACCAAAAAAAAAAAATCCCTGCAGCGCAAAACACATTTTCCCCCATAGACTGCCACTATAGAAGGAGATGTCTGTAAAACTGTTGACAGAACAAGGTTGGTTAATACTCTTACTATTTTGAGTTTTTAAACCACTGAGGTTTGAGCACAAAAGAGGCGTAAATGTAAAGTCTATGGGCCAAGGGGTAATGAGTGATGAATGGGCGGGGCCAGCATGGAAACACTAATGTGTATGTAGAGTGTAGAGTAAGCGGTGCAGCGTGGAGGCAAACTTTCTGGCTCATGCACAAGGTGAGCAATTTTGAGTGGTATAGATAGATAGTTCCAAAAAAAATGAATCCAAAGTTGTAAGCCCTGCCTCAATGGGCCATGTATGTATGTATATATATATATGCAAAATCATATCAATTGAGCTGATCAGTGTCACATTTCTGAATTGGGAACTCCAGAGAAGGCCTGCTGCTTATTTCATTTTCAAGTTGTAGCTACAGGTTGGGAACATTAGTAGGGCTGCCTCTCAGCCAACAAGAGGTGATCACAGATCCAGACTGAGTCTTTGCATGATATGTGATCCAGATTTGATGAAAAGTCATTGATCTCCAAATTTCTAAATGGCTCACTTACATTGATTGTCTCTCGGACTTCCAGTGGTCTTCTTTTCCAGCTGTCAACAAGCAGATCAGTCACTGTCTCATTGTAGATTTCCATGTAAGACACCCTGAGAAGGAACTCCTTCTTTGGAAACTTTGGGCAAAAGAAAACCATTGTTAGAATAAACAGTGATTACACAACAAACTGAGGCATGTTTTAAACATCTGATTCAATTCTTACATTTTTAATGGTTTGGAAGACATCCTCCACAGCCAGTGGTATCACTCCGGGAGTTTGGTCACTCCCCATCATAGTGAAAGTCTTTCCAGAGGAAGTCTGCCCATAAGCAAATATGGTTCCTGTGGAGCAGACACAGAACAGATATATTAACAAAATATACGCCATGCAGCTACAGTGAGTTGGATAGAACATCATAACACCACAAGACAGGAGGTCTCAGTTTCCATTACAAACCATTGTATCCCTCGACAGTGGAAACAACCAGAGGCTTTGCAATGTCTTGGTACAGCTGATTTGTTGTTTCTTCAGCAATAAACACTCGGTCTGCGAACAGAGGAGTAAAATGAATGTATGTACATTTCCATTACTAAGACTCTATACTGAATGGCTCAAAGGAATCACAATATCGAGTAAACATGTTTCTTAATTCTGTTGATGCTGCAAAACATACCAAAACTAAAGCTCTTGGTGGAATTCCCATCATCGATCTGATGAATTGATTTCTTATCACTTTTCCAAAACAGCTGGGGAGGCTCTGCATTCTCCGATGCAGCACTCTCTTCCCTGTAACAAGGACATTCATTCATTCAAGATATCTGGGGAAACATTTACAGACTTTCTCCACAAAATCTTAAAGAGACAATGTTTGGTGTCACTCTGTGAGATTAATTTGTGGCCAACGCACAAAAACATCCTTGAAAATTTTGTGAGAAAATGTTGGGAGGTATCAGATTCAACAAAATTTTAAATTTGGAGGACAAATTAAGCGTCCTATCGACCACAATATAATCTTCAATGATTATGTTACAAAAAGTCCCTGGGTTATATACTGTCCGTCAGTAATATTACAGACAACAGTGTTGATTTGCAAATGTGTCTGGAAAAGATGAGAATATTTTACTAGAGACATGCAAGACAAAATCATGAATGTTAATTTTGTGAGAGATAAGCCATGTGTAAATCAGGGCACAAGGAACATATTGATATGCAAGCTTGCCCAAACAACCATTTACTCCTTTTCCTTAAAATCTTTTCACCTGTAAATCCGAGGCATCTTTAGGAAACAGTAGCAGCATGGCAGTAGGGATAGCAATAACTGTTCATCAAACAGTGCACCTCTATGATCCTGGCTAAAATATCTCTTTATCCATTGGATGGATTGCTACATTTGGTATAGACATTCATACCCCCTGCAGGATGAATTGTAATAACTTTGTTGGCCTTCCAACTAGGCCACTGTGAACAAAAGAACAAGTATAATAGAAGAACACTTCTGGAGAAATTTTGAGTGTGCCTACTGCTTGGTGCAACTCAATGAGCTGTCAGTTTGTACAAGTGGATGTGAGCAAAGCATTGTAGCCACACTTTGGATGTGATGGAAGCATTCATTCAGAAAAACGTGAAGAAGTGCTGGTGACAGTATTTGTGGCACTGACAGTCCTACTACCACCTCAGGCACTATCACTATGTCAGCAATTGCACAATAATAATTAAGAGCTCCATAGTGAAGTATATGAATAATAATAATATGTGCCTATTTGTCATTTTGTTGACTTAAGTGTTCAATGCAAGTTAATGTATTGTTTGATCTTCTTTGTAAATGAAACTGAATTAGTCTTTTTAGTTGTAATTTGTATATGAAATTAAGCTTTGTACTTTATAAAACTGAAAGGTCACATCTCTGTTGTCTTCTGGGATACCAAGATGGGACTTATCCACCTTAATTGCAATCATTAATCATATATGTTATCTTAATTGTCTCGAACTGATATAAAGACAATATATGTTAAGAATAAGCTAACGTTAGCGTCGTATTTACCAGTGACGCTCAGACATAGCGCCTTGCTCCGGTGAGCGCTTAATGGTTAAGTAGATCTGGTGCCAAAGGCGCCATCTCCAGTCCCTTCAGTGATTATATTACTGCATGACAAATCCTAACGTTAATTACAGTCATGTGTGGAGCCAACACAAATAAACACCAGCCCAAAAAGTCTTTAGCATTGTCGATTTGGTAAAGCATCATTCAGACACAAAAAACAGAGACAACACCGCCAAACGCTTGCAGCTCCACAGCGATAACTTAGCTTAGGTTAGGTCATATTAAATAAAATAAAGGTGTATGCAATGTGTTTTACCACTGAACTTAATTACACAGTTATTATTAGCTGAAAAACGACTCGCCAGTAACGCCCGATTTTAATAAAACGACTGACATTACTTCGGTCAGTAACGTTAACAGTCAGTGTTAGCATCAGGTAAATGAACGTTAGCTCCTTAACTTGTAACTCACTGCTCAAAACTTACCTCGCGATAAGCGGACGGACTCGAACACAAACCTTCACAGCAGACTCTTCCGTCATCTTTCTTTTTGATAGTCACCTACGAAACAACACTACCAGGCAAACTAACACATTTTTTATGAACGACAATAAACTAGCGAGACCCAAAGCGCTGGTGTGGGCGCATCAGAACCAACTCCCTTTGCTGTTTAAACTTGTGCCACTTAGTTGTGATTGGTCAACGTCATCGGTGGACAGTTCCATTAGGAAGAGGCGGAGGGGGGAGGGGGGTTCAAACGACTGCTGGGATACGTTTTGGTTGTGACTGTGCTTTTATAATGTATTTTAACGAAATTTGTAATATGATAGTGTGGGAAAATTTACTTTGTTTTAAATTTTGTTTTATCACCGAAAATCTGTTTTTTTTTTCATGGAAAATGTTCTGAACTGTGTACATATGAACAATATTTGACATTGTCAACAGCTCAGCTGACCAAACTGAAATACAAACAGTTTAACAACCAACATAAAACAAAAAAAATATATGAAAAAATAAAATAAAATAAAAATATCTGAAAAATAAAAATAAAATAAAAATAAAAAATAAAAATAAATAAATACTACTAGTAATAATACTAATAATAATAAATAAGAATTGCCAGGGGAAAAATTAAAAGTGTATGTAAAACGGAAATATTTTAATGTAAGCAAGCATTATATGTCTTAATAGCTTTTCTTTTTGTACTTGTGGATATGGTGGATATATATATTTCAATTTCTATGATTAAAGTAGGAAAGAATGGCTTATTATTTGAGAATTTACTCTTATGAATGTGAAATTTTGCATAAAAAACAACAACATTGATCAAATAAAACATATCGTCACCTTAAGTAATAGAGTTATGGAAACCAAACAATACATACTCCCATTTAACGGGAATTTTATTACAGACGTTGGATATAATAGAAGCATTCAGTTCCTCACCGAATATCTGGTTAATGTGGCCACGTCCGACTGGTGACGCTAAAAACATGCAGCTGCGTCATCAAACTGCGCGTGGTGAGTGTCGAAAAACGACACACGAGGAAACGGTGGTTTGTGGAGTTCACTAAAGTTTGACCAGAGTTACGATTATGGACGGAGATAATTAATATTCAGTGTTAATATTCCCTTAGTGCGGAGTAGTTGAAAAGAATAAAAAAGGTTTTAGAGGCGTTTCATCTTGCTACTGACATGTCTCTGTTTCTTGTGAACAGGTAGGCTGCTCTGTGCTATTTTACATCGCTGGTTTTTCTTTAAGTCATTTTACTACATGGCCCTGATGTTAGTCTCTGTCTGGCTCTGAGTGGTTTTTCGATAATAAGCTTCAAAAGTTTCCCATTAAAGCTATGTTGCAGTAAAGTCCTCCTTACCTGGCTGTAAACACACATACACATAGGTGTGTGTATGTGTATGTATGTATTCTATCCTCACATTTTTGCATGGTGTATTGCAGATAGAACATTTCCCAGTTTGTTAATGTCCCTCTGTGTGCTGTTATTTTACATGATCTTCTGGTGTCTTTTCTGCCCACCTTCTGGCCTGATTGCTGTCATCTCAAAAGCTGTCACAGTAAATAAGAGTTATGAAAAATAACATGAATGCTTGCCAACAAACGTTAGAATGATGAGCATGGTAGCTAATAGTAAAATCTGATTTTTACCAGGTTCAGACAAAATTAAAACCTAAAAACTTTAATCTTAGATGACATTTTTATCAGCTTCATTCACAGTGGATAAAATAATCAGGTTTGAGGTTTGAAAGCCTCATAGAGCAGCAAGTGAATGGTACTCACAGCAAAGATAGGAAATGATGTTGAGAAATTCTCTGTTTTCAAATGGAGAAGCTCCTGTGCTGTGACTGTGCTGCAGCGGTGGACTGAAGATCCTGTAAAATGTATTAAATTCTGTTGTGTTGCTCACAGGTATCTCGGAGAGGAGGATGATGGGAGCATCTCAATGGAGTCTCGGTCCCAGGCATTACTGGCTAAACTGCAACAGAAGGCGAAAGAGAAGCAGAAACAGAGTTTGACAGAACAGAGACAGCAGACAGTACAGCAGGGTGTCAAAAAGAAAAGAAAGGCCGGCCAGGACAGCACCCTAGAGCCTCAACACCACAAAAAGAGGAAATCATCAGTAGAGCCTTTGGATGTTCTGGACTCTGAAAACAATATTGAGACTGTCAAAGACAAAAAGAAGAAGAAGAAGAAAGGTGCAAATGAAAGACTGAAGCAGAAGAATCAATCAGGTTTGTGTTTGTTCTTATTTATTCCAAACTCTGCAGTTCCTCTCAGCTTTGTGTCTTTCAGCTCATTGGGCCTCATGCAAGAAACACTTGTACAAACAGATTTGTTCTTAAGTGGCATGTACAGTTGATTGATGAGAATCTGCGGCATTCACCTATCTTCTTATACTCATATACTTATACTCATGAGTGGTCCAGACAGTCTGTCTTTCTCCACAGGGTAAAATTACACATCTGACTGAGGAATCCTAATGCCTTAATCTGAATGAATGTGTAATTTCATAAGATACAAAAATGAACTAAAATAAAATATATAACAAAGCCAAAAAAATTAATATGGCTGCAACATTTTTGTTAGATTCTGGTGTTTTTATTTGCACAGGAAGTTTTAATTTCAGTAAGTGTCAGGAAAATGATCTCACTATTACAGCTGCATCAGGGTGTTTCTGCAGGTCCACTACTGTCCACTATCATCCTCTGATGCATCCAACAGTTGTCAAAAAAATTGTCAAATGCCACTGTTTTTTTGTAACTTTCAAGTGTTCATGTTTTTTAAAAAAAAACGTCAGCTGAGATTTTAAAGTATTGTTATTTGTCTGAACCATCCAGTATTGGTCGGTGTGAAAAGGCTGCTCCATTCCCTTTTCACTAGGCCCTGATCCCCCACATTATCATTGTTTTGTCATTATCATTGTTAATGTAATCAGTATTTTAGTTGGATGGTTCTATTAATGTTTCAGCTTCAGTTATTCAATACATTGGTTGATGCAGGTTGTAGTTGATCTTTGTAGGTTTGATATGTTGGAAGGGTCGACCCACCATCTCAGTGAGGGAAAGGGGAAACAGGTGTGTGTCCTTAGGTCCTCTTGGTAGTGAGGGACTGTGCATGAGTATGTGGGGAGATGGGTAGAACTGTTCTGCAGTAGATTACAGTGGGGTGAAACTTGTGCACTTATGAATAATGTCTGGTGCTTATTGTAGAGTGGGAATTGTCAGCAGTAACAGAAGTTAGTATGTAGTGGTTGTGTGGGGTTGGTATGCTTGGACATGCCATACTTACCTGAGCCGGTGGTAGACTCCAGTCAGGTGAATGGAGAAGATAAGATGCCAGGAGAGAGGGACAGAGCAGGTGGCAGCTCGCTGTGAGGCTGAAGGTTTGATCTATTTTATCTCGTTATGGTTTAAGTTATTTTTTGTTGAATTTCACAGGGTTCATTTTTCTTCTGGTTGGTAATATTTTTGATAATAAAATAACATGTTTTGAGCACCTACTCTTGCCTGCTGACCTGCTTTTTCTTTTGGAACATCCCTTTTAAAGTTTCTAGTGCCCAAACAGCATCATCTGCCCTTTTATTGTGGTGGCACTACAGTTGGTATACCATGTGGACAAGGTTGTCCTCATACCGCTGCCCATGTTGTGCAGTTCTTTGCCCAAAAATGTCTTATTGAGAGACACTCACCCTGGAGATTAGGGCTGCAAAGTCATAGCTAAGTTTACAGTGCATTCAAAAAATGTAAGTTAGTCTCTGTCCTTGGATTTTAGGTGGTTCAGTTGAAGGTCTTTCAGACTCTCCTGTGACGGGAAGTGATGGATCAGAGGACACTGGAGGAGAAGAGGAAGCAGAGGCAGACAATGACCCACCAAAACAACCCCCAGAGAAGACTTCTGCTCCCACTGGATTCACAGTTATGGGCGGATTTGAGAACAAACCTGTCCAAAAGGTATAGAGATACGTTGCTAGACGGAGGGGTGATGGGGGTCAGGAGTCACCAATATCAGTAGTATTCATCTTCTGGGGACCATAGATATCCACTGAGTGTTTGTTCCTGTGTTCACAGGTACACAGAGTCCTGCCTCAGTGGCTCGCTCAGCCTGATGTGATTCACAGAGACATTAAAAGCAACCTGGTCCCCGTCTCTGACATCTCAGGACTTTGTGCTGGACTTGTGAAAAAACTGCAAAATAACGGGATTCAACACTTCTTTCCAGGTATTGACACAGTCTGAATGAGTCTGTGTATTCAGCAGGGGGTTTCCCAAGTTCTAAGAGATGAGGAATAAGCCTATATTATTTCACTTATTGTTGATGTTCATATAAAACACATATGTTACAGCTGTGCTATTTATGTTATTTAATTATCTTATTAGTTTGTTCCTGTCTCTTTAGCTCAAAGAGGTGCATGTGTTGTGTGGGTGGGGGTGTGAAATCATTCATTATAATGTTGGGGGATGTTGTGATTTGAAAAAGATTTGGAACCATCACTGTTGTATACTTCCGTATTCATCGGTCTACACTAAGTACCTCCAAATTAACAAAGTGAAAGAAAAACTGAAATCTCACATTGACAAAAGTATTCAGACACTTTACTCTGACTCTAAGTGTAGCTCAGGCTCCTCCATTTCTCTGGATCATCTCTGAGTTGTTTCTACACCCTGACTGGAGTCCACCTGTGGTGAACTCAGATGATTGGACATGATGTGAAAGACACACACCTGTCTATATAAAGTCTCACAGCTGACGATGCAGATCAGAGCAGAAACCATGAGGAGGAAGGATGCTGCAGAGCTCAGAGACAGGACTGTGTCAAGGCTCAAAAACATTTCTGCTGCATTGAAGGTTCCTGAGAAGAACAGTGGTCTCCATCATTCTGACATGAAGAAGTCTGGAACAACCAGGACTCTTTAGAGCTGGACCTGGACTAACTGAGACATCAGAGAGAAGAGAGGAGAAGAGAGGAGACCAAGAACCTGATGGTCTCTCTGAGCTCTAGAGAAACTTCCAGAAGGACAACCATCACTGCAGCTCTCCACTGATCTGGTCTTCATGTGAGTGAGAGTGTCCAGGCGAAGCTTCTCCTCAGTTTCCTCAGTGACAGTTTTTAAAGAAGCAGCTAAAGGACTCTGAGACTGAGAAAAAACAGGTTCTCTGCTCTGATGAGTGGGAGGACAGGGAGACTGGTCAGGACTGAGGGAAAACCTGGTTCAGAGCTCAGGACCTCAGACCGGGCTAAAGGTTCACCAACAGGACCACAACACTAAGCAAACATCCAAGAAGTGTCCAAGAGACAACTCTATGAATGTCCTTGAGTGGACCAGACAGAGTCCTGACTTGAAACCAGTCCAGCATCTGCAGAGACCTGAACATGTCTGTCCACGAACCTGCAGAGAAGAAACGAGAGAAAATCCACAAATCAAGATGTGAAAAGCTTGTGACGTCAGACCCGAGAAGACTGGAGACTGTGATCGCTGCCAAAGCTGCTTCAACTGAGTCCTGAGTGAAGTGTCTGAATACTTATGTCAATGTGATATTTCAGTTGTTAATAAATTTGCAAAACTTTCTAAAATTCAGTTTTCACTTTGTCATCATGGAACATTGAGTGAAGACTGAGGAGGGAAAAATGAATTAAAATGGTTTTACCATAGTTACTTTGACCCTCTCATAGTGCAAGCAGAGGTCATCCCAGCCATCTTAGAGAGCACACAGCAGGGACTACTGATTGGACGTGGTGGCTACAAGCCCAGAGACATCTGTGTGTCTGCACCAACAGGCAGTGGCAAGACTCTTGCCTTTGTCATACCTGTCATACAGGTAAATGTCCTGCCTTCTCTTTAAGTAGCTTTGAGCAGAATATGCATGTAAAATGTATAGGCACTACAGTGTGTGTATGACTGAAGAAGGTGGAATATGCAGAAAGACTCCAGGTTACAGAAAGACATGTCTTCCATCAGGTGCTGACGGAGCGGGTGGTGTGTGAAGTCCGGGCTTTGGCTGTGTTGCCGACCAAAGAGCTCGCTCAGCAGGTCAGAATCTTTCAAAACAAAAGTTCAGTAATGTTTGCTGCCATTTAAACACACAGTCTGTAACTTCATCATGGGAGCCGTTGTGTTCACCACCATTACTGTAAGCTCCTCCCGGTTTGGATTCAGGAAATCAAACAGACCCAGTGATTCTAACTGTTAAAAACACTGAATAAAGCCGTTTCACATTTAAAGTCAGTGTTTGAGCGACGCTGTACGGAGGACAGAGACTCAGGGAAGAGCTGGAGCTGAGATTGATGCTAACCTTTGTTCTGATTGTTTCTCTGATAACTTATGAAGCAGACGTTCAGCAGGTTTTTACCAGCAGCTGAATTCTCCACAGAGGTGTCCTCCTCTCCATAACAAACACACCAGGGGATTCAAACCAGTAGAAACACCCAGAAAGCAGTTTGACTTTCAAAATCAGAGATTCAGCGACGCTCTTCAGTGACACAGGACAGGAAGTCTCCAGCAGCTGAGCTGTCTAACATTTCCTCAGCTTGTTTCTCTGATAACTTCAGATCCAGACGTCCGACGACTAAAATCCTTCATCTGGTTCAAATATAGAGCTGAAAACCACCAAGGTGGAAAAAGTGTATGTGGCTTAAAACTAGATAAAAGTCAATGTTGAGCTTCTGTCAGACAAGCACACTGACACATGATCATAGAGGATATGATGTCACTGACAGGAGACCAATGAAACGTTACCATGATTAAAAATCAGATTTCTCTGGTTTGAGAATTGATGGAAACATTTGGGATAATGTAAGAACACAACTCAACAACATATAGAAGATCGGTCCAGTTGTTTTTACACATTTTAATGTGGAAAAGTTACAGATTAGAACTTTAAAGAATCTCAGCATGTTCTCTTGTACAGGTTTGCAAAGTGTTCACATCATACGCTGAGGGAACGACTCTGAGAGTGGTGATGCTGGCTGGTCAGAGGTCCTTTGCTGCAGAGCAGGCCTCACTCTCAGAACACAGGTGGGGGCTTTTCCATTTAGCAACACTACCATATGACATTTTACTTAGTAAATGCTTTATAGGGCCTGAGTGTTAGAGTTTATTTCTTTATTTTATGCAACTACAGCAACATATTTCTGTTAATCACGATCTTTCCTCCAGAGCGGGCATGAGACGCAGTTTAGCAGACATCGTTGTGGCCACTCCAGGTCGACTGGTTGACCACATCAACAAGAATTCAGGCTTGTGTCTGGAACACCTCCGCTTTCTTGTGAGTTCTGTGTAACGGTGCAGTCAGCTGTTTGCCATCCATCATCTGTGCTCTTTTTGAAAGTGGTTTTCATTCTATCCATCCCAGATCATTGACGAAGCTGACAGGATGATCGACAGCATGCACCAGTCCTGGCTCAGTCAGGTGGTGAAGGCGGTGTACAGATCAGGAAGTGAACCAGAAGCCATGTCCATCTTCAGGAGGACTGAGCCAGCGTATGTCACAGCAGCCAGGTGAGTCAGTCTTGTGAAGCCTCACAGTTTAGATCAACACCAATGATCTTCTGTGGTAAAACTTGCCACCAAAGTGTTTGTCTTGATTTAAACATTTTTTTTCTGAGAATTTAAACAGAATAAAAAAAACAAAACGCTCCCCCTCCTCCACCTTGCGTAAAACTGATATGACATGATTTGGAAAGGCACACACCTATATACCTATCTATATAAGGTGTTAAATGCTCTGAAGTTACGGTGTCGTGCTTCAGACTGGGGTAACCATGTGTCGGTCTGTGTCTCCTCAGTCTGTCTCCACCTCAAGTGCCGCTGCAGAAGCTGCTGTTTTCTGCCACACTCACACAAAACCCAGAGAAGCTGCAGCAGCTGGGCCTCCACCAGCCCAGACTCTTCAGCTCCATCCACAGCCACACCAGCACCACACCAGCAGCCCCCACCCAGAAGCAAGACCGCTTTGACTTCCCCCAAGGCCTGACGGTAAGAGATGACCTTTGACCTTCAGGCCTGGAAGTGGAGTGCAGCAATGTGGAGCACAGACGCAGTCGCACAGTAGATGATGATGATGATGATGAAGAATTATGGAACGCTCGGGTCTTAGTGAACAACTGCACCTTTGTGTTTTTAGGAGTATTATGTTCCCTGTACGTTGAGCAAAAAGCCCCTCCTCATCATCCACTGCATCCTGCGCATGAAGCTCAGCCCCATCCTTTGTTTCACCAACTCCAGAGAGACTGCACACAGGTTAGAGAGAGCTGTTTAAACACATTACATGATGTTTCTTGTGTGTGTTTTAACTTTCAAGCATGTGTAGAATCTGTATCTGCCCTGCTCCTGTCCTCAGGCTCTTCCTGCTGGTGCAGCTGTTTGGTGGAGTTCATGCTGCTGAGTTCTCCTCCCGACTCTCTCCTGGTGAGAGGAAAAAGACGCTGAAGAAATTTGAACAAGGAAAGATCCAACTGTGAGTGTGTGTGTGTGTGTGTGAGAGTGAGTCTGTGTGTGTGTATGTGTGGGGGTGTGGGGGGGTGGGGCGAGTGTACACTGATGGTGTGAGTAACTATGTTTTGGTACAGCATAAACATTAGAGGAACATCAAGCTTCCTCTAAGGAACATACAGTATAAAAATAGTGAGGTTTTGTGGTGTGATTGCAGGAAGCTGTTTATATGACATGATATGTGATATATTTATATTCACAAACAGAGGGGGGCAGTTGCCAGTCCAGTTCACCTGCACTGTGGCTGTTCACATCAGAAGCTTATTTCTCTTAATCAGTCAACAAGCGACTCTGCTCCTCTGCTCTCTCTTCATCACATGTAGAACTGATCTTTATAATAATGGATTTATAACGTATATGTGTTCCTGGATCAGTGGGGCGTCGCTTCTTATGCAACAATGAAGTTAAAAGGACCATTTTACCTGAGACTCCAGACTGTCTGACTGTCCCTGCTCCCTGCCTCTCTGTGCCCAGCTCACCATCATGTTAACAGTTCCATAAACACTTCATTCCTTTCTTATGAAGATTTCATCATATGGCAGTTAATATTTCTGAGGGACTACTGTTTTTTTGCTGCACTGAAGAACGAGTGTATGTCTGTGTTTCTTTTCTCTGAGCCACAACCACTCTTATAGGACCAAACCACTGTGAGGCAGAGGGGGGGACGAAATCATTTGAAACTTAAAATCGCATTGTTTTGCATTTTTTAATTTCACAAGTGCTATATTACTTAAATTTACATAGTTAGGTATACATCCCCACTGTCCCCCCTCATTTCCACCTATGTCCACAATAGAAACCATGTCTCCATTCAAGGCTTTGTCCAGCAGAGAGCACTGACAAGTTGATTTCTACACTGTAAAATGTCCCACTTGCTACATATATCGTGGACACAGTTCTGTAAACAACAGATTAATAACAGACAAACTCATTATCATCATCATCAGACTTTTTGAACTCACGTTTATCAGTCAGGTTCTGGTAGATCGTGCTTCTTCTCTCTTCCTGCCTTATATCATCTTTATGGCACATGTTGAGTTTATATAGAATCATAACAGAGGTTATGTCAGGGCACTTTTCATATGGAGTAGGTCTACACTCTTTATTACATGGACTTTTTAAAGTGAAAACACAACATAGAGTTGACTTTATTTCAGTGCTGTAAATGTTATAATTCTAACAAAAACAATGACCATGAACACTAAATGGAATATTAGAATATTGATTTGTATCTGATTCTTGTAGTTAGCCATTCATAAGCGTCTGAGAGCTTTAAGGTTGAATGAATGGTGTCGTCCTGAAGGTTGATCAGCACAGATGCAGCTGCCAGAGGCATCGACATCAACGGAGTCAAATGTGTTGTGAATTATGATGCGCCACAGTACATCAGGACGTACATTCACAGGTGAGCTGTTAGTTTGCAGAGGAAGTAATACTGCGCACGGTCCAGTGTAGCAGCCCCAACCTGTGTCCTGACAGTCTGTCCTGACTTCTCTGTCCCTGTTCAGGATTGGAAGGACAGCGAGGGCAGGAAAAGCAGGCCTGGCCTTCACCTTTCTGCTTGGAGTACAGGTGAAACACTTAAATACACGAACAATCAGACATTGACAGTCTACAGACATGGTATAAAACTGAGGTTTTTGTTGGCCCCCTCAGGAGAAGAACTTCCTTCAAATGGTGCAGGAGGCAGGCAGTCCTGGGATTCAGAAGCAGATTTTTAAACCTGAGAACCTCAAATGTATGGAAGCCCGATATGAAACAACACTGCAAGAGCTGGCTAATGTGATCAAGGTACCATCTCAAACACGTTTACAATATCCTCTGTTTGAAAGGCCCATTATATCACTACAACGCCTCTTTTATCTTAGACTTAGTGGATAGTGACGATTTTATCCATTTTAATCAGTAGTTACTAGGTCATAAAACTCCAGTGTTTCATTTTCATGCAACAGGTGACTCTCACCTTACGGTTGACTGATGGTGTTTGCCTCTTTGTTTCTCTCTGCAGGATGAGAAAGCCAAATAATGGGAGTAGCACTGACCTCCTCCTCTGAGCTGACATCTGTACCTGTGTTTTCATCACAGCACAACTGTGTTTAGTTGTTTTATTTTGTTGAAACGGGTGTGCGGTGAAGGTGCTGATTTCAGCTCCACTGTGTCAGTTCACATCAACACAGCTGAGGTGCCTGTAAAAATTTCTTTTCCTGTTATCTGAGGCATTGACCTGTGACCTGATACTGGCAGTAGAAAAAAGATCTACATAAACACAGTATGAAGAGAATGAACATATGTATGAATTCAGGAAGTATCATTTAGAAGAGAAGTCATTAATATGAAGTGATATTTCATCATGTGCTCATAATAAAATACATTTTTTTATACTTTATATCTTCTACAAAATCAGTTTGTATGTTATTTAAACTTTTTCCCCACTGGAACTGTGAAAACTAACTGATGTGTTTGCCCGGGATGCTTAACAGCGCAGCTGACCACGATCCAGATGCAGGTTTAGGCTTCAGAGGTGTTTTGGTGCTGTCCAGACAGTCCTCATTTCCTTATAATAAACGCAGACCGCTGCTCAGGTTTGAATTTACAAGAAGCTATGCTGGGAATCCTGTTAAGTCCCAAATTATGGCTGCAAGTAAACTTTTATTATCCATTAATCTGTAATCAATAACATTTTTGATTAATTGGTATCATAAATATTCCCAGAGCTCCAGATGATGTATCCAAATGTTTTCTTTTGTCTAGTCAAAGTGAAAAACACGGCAGCCTGGCAGGTGAACTCACACACTTTAATGTTGGTATTCAGAGAAAACTAGACAGGTGTCTTTGTTTCAGTCCAGTCAGATTTTAATTCACTGTCGTCACAGCACATGAACGAACACACACGAACACACACACACACACACACACACACGTCAGTCCCATTTGGAGGTCTTCCTCCTCATGTATCTCTCCCCCTCACTGTCGATGGCCTCGTACAGCTGCTGGTCGTTTTCTTTCATGGCGTGCAGGTAGCCCAGGTAGCCCACACACAGAGTGATGGTGACCAGTCCAAACACCATCACCGGTTTATTCTGCAAGACAGCACAGCTTCATGTCATGATGACAGGTGATGATGTCATCAGTCATCATGTTGTATGTCAAATGTTTCAATAGTCTGTTTAAAAGCTTCATTATCTTATTATTATTATTATTGTCATCATTTTTATTTTTATTATGATAATAATTATTATTATAATCACTATTACTACAAGACAGAGTGAGACACCATACAAAGAGACATCCGAGGCTCACCCAGACTTCAGAGGCCTGTACTACGAAGCAGGATTTCAGGTTATCAAGGTAACTTCAAGTTTAACTCTGGGTTTTCAGTACTATGACTGTGGTTCACTTGTTGCTGGGGTTAATCACCATGGTAACTGATGCTGAACTCCTGACCTGGTCCAGATCAGATAAAAACCTGTCAACAGCCAAACAACTGACCAACCACATCACATCATTCCTACAGGATCCTGACAGGGACAAAAGAGTTAGAATAAAGTGATCAATAATAAAGAATAATAGATATTTGTTTAGATCAGTGTTTGAGTCTTTCCATGTGTCCACTTTGGTTTTAAAACAGAGCTTCTAACAAACAGAGGAGCGTTTATCACACTAAATAACTACATAACCATTGTAGCTTCATTTGACCTGAACACAGATTCTTTAATCAACAGGATTCCTGACAGTGATGAAGCTTTTACTCTCTTCTTCATCACTGCAGCTCAGAACAACATGAGGAGAAATAACAATTAAACCAACAATGATCCACACACTGTTCAATATTTCCATTTCAGTCAGACTGACTCATCAGACATCAGCTACTCCTCTCCTTTTCTTTCTCTCCTCTCTGCAGCAGAAACATGCTCACATCAACTTTAACTGTTTGATCTGCATCACATGTTCAGAACAGTTTGTTCATCATCAGACTAAAGAAGAAAAGACTGAGCAACTTCATGATAATTCATGCACGTATTTACAATATAGCCTTAGTCTGACCTTAATAGAACTTATATTTAGAAACAGAAATTTAAATTCTAGTCATGTGATCATATTGTTTACAATTCACCTTGTTGAATTTCACTTTATGACGTCACTATAACTGAATGTACTTGCAGGTATCAGCGTTTTTTCTCATATCATATTAATACTTGATTCATGGTTCTGACGATGTTGTTTATGATTAACAACTCTTCCTCTTTCACATGAGCGAGCTCGTACCTGGACAGGTGAACCAGAGTAAAGTGAACCAGTTGATAACCAGCTTCATAGTACAGGTTATCAGGACAGTCAGTGTTGGGTTCAGTGAAGCCAGAAAATGAAAAGTTAACCTGGGTTTGTTGAACCTGCGTCATAGTCCAGGCCTCTGGTGACTCTGTAGGGTCTAACTACTTATCGAAACAAGATCAAACTTTATTTCTTTGCTCGATGTGTGTGTGTGTCTCACAGGTTTGATGAAGAGTTCAGGGTTGACAGCTCGGAACAGTGTGGTGGTCTGAGCCCCCCTCAGACCGGGAGTCCTGTAACCTTTTTCCACGGGACTCTCCTTCTCTTTACCGGCCTCCTGATGTGACATGTCCGCTCAAAACTGTGAACGACGGCTCTTTGGAGAAATATCTGATGATGAAGCTCGAAAAATGAGAATTGCAGACTTTTGGACTAAGCTTCTTTCACTGACGCCGCCATGTTTGGAAGTCAAAGACGAGACCGAGGAGGAGGAGGAGGGTGAAGAATAAACGACCTGAGGGGTCACAGCGCCCCCTCTGGTTATGAGCGACAGGGTGCAAAGCTGTTAGAGCGAAATGTGGCTACTTTGAAGAGTCTTATATCTAAAACATTACTATATAATTCCATATATGTTATTTCATAGTGTTGATGCATTCAGCATTGTTTTACAATGTAGAAAATTCAAAACCATTGAATTAGAAGGTGTGTACAAACTTTTGACTGGTACTGTACATATATATTGTGATGGCCTGGTTTCCTGCAGTGGCTCTGCTTGTCTTCAGGGCTGCAGATCAAAAGAAGACATTAATCAGCAGCATGGGACACCCCTGGGCCCAGTGTGCCCCATGCATATAAGCAGTAGCAGTCAGAAGTTGACAGATCTTCTCACCGCACACACACCTCTGTAGTGTGGGGCTTCTATAGGGTTGTTCCTTTGTTTTTACAGCACAACATCCATGCAGCACATTTTCACTCCCCCACACCCACTGACCTTACAGATTCCTCCCATCTACTTTTTGTGTTTATTTTGATAATTTTGCTGTAAATAAATGAGTTTGTTATATTTAGTGTGTGTGTGTGTGTGTGTGTATATACATACATAGAAAAAGGTGCATTTGTGTGAGGACGTGCCCGTACTGAATATGTGGGCTGTGAAAAGTACATTCTGCCATCGGTGGAACAGAGGTTTTTCACTTTAACCGCCTCCCATTCGGCATTTCTTCCGCACGTGAACACTTTGAGTGCATAGTGGCTGAGGTCACAGAGGGGCTGGAAGTTGTGGTCTGTCACATAGATGACCTGTCTATCCTGAGACAGAGATCCTGAGCCACAGATGTTTGCAGCATTCATAGATCCTTGCAGACCAATTCTGGTCCAGATTCATAAGGGAATACCTACCTGGCCTGCAGACCAGACAAAAATGGCACTCGTCTCCTTCCAAACTCCAAGATAAGTTTGTCGTCATTTCGGTGGACCTGGTTGCCTTGGGCCCCCCTGCAGTATGTTGCAGGTTACAAGTTTATTATATAAACGTATAAAAATTAAAATCAAGGGGAACTCTTAACTAAGGAGGGAGGTTCTGGACTTCAGTTATCAGTGAGGGGGAACAATCAAAATCTTTCAAAGGTCCATGTTCTACTCTCTGGGGACAGAGGGGCTGGCCAGGGTCAAGGCGAGCTGTGCAGCCAGTTGTTTGCTTCCTCAGTGCATGATAGTCGATGGACAGGCTTGTCACACACATACACGCTTCAGCCTTAGAAGTAGAAAGCCAACAATGCCTACAGGCAACGTGCATGGAGGGGACTCTGGAGCTGCACACAGAGAGTTCAAGAGTGAATGAATCAGTACAAACAGAAAACAGAACTTAGGGCCTTTTAAAGAAGTATCTGTTAGCTCCCAGCGAGTCACACAAACACCATAAGTGAGCAGTTGAAGTAGGCCTGGACATTCAACCACAGCCACCATACTTACAAACAGAAAGACTGAGAGTGAATGAGAGACTTCAGTGTTTGCTGCATGTGCCAGCATGCAAGTGTTAAATCCAGCATGCATCACATCAAATCAGTGCTCTGCAGCGGATCTCAAAATGTGGCTTCCCACCCCTTAAACAGCGAATGGACGATTTGCAGTGCTGCCAACTGCACATACATACAAGATTTTTGCCTGGAATGTCACTGACTGACAGATTGATCATATTTCCACCATTGGTCAGCTGAATGTCATGTGACTCGACTGTGTATTAGTGCCAACCGGTGCCAACCGTGGGCGTGTCTTCTTACAGGCAGTCTACTGAGCCGCTCTGGTTTTCTTGGCTGCTCTGACGCTGCAGGGAAGCAGAGGAGCACTTCCAATACACTGAGCCTCACCTCCATTACAGCAAATAAACTACTTTCATTACATGTATTGTTATTACTAAAGGAGGAAGAGGAATAAGTAAGCATAAGACTGAGCAGAGAGAACAGGAGAGAGGGAGGGAGAGAAGTCATCACTAACTGCTAAAGAAATTAGCAAACCTGAATTACATGTAACAGAAACCCCAGCAACCACAGTAGTTAGTGTTGGAAGCTGGTAACGTCTTCACAATGGACTCTAGTGTGGTTTCCCTGAAGACAACATATAACTGCTGGGCAACTGGCTCCACTGTTCCTCTCAGCTGATTGGCGCTTGACAGTCTGCCAGCAGGCAGATACATATTATACGTTTGACTGACTGATTTACTGAACTCCTGTTATTTTTTTCATATCACACATCGTATGTCTGCTCCGTCAGAGGTTTGTCAAGCCAATGGTATAAAATGGGATACACTTCCTGTCTCCTAAGTAGGTGTGGTTGTGATTGCTTCTTCATGACAAAACATAACAACACAATACAACACTAGATACAGTATGAATTTGCGCCTTATTTTGCCGCTCATTTTGATCTGCTATCTTAATATCTGATACATCCAGTACAAGATCATATTAGTCTATTCATTCATTCATTCATTTTCTACCGCTTATCCTCTAGTAGGGTCGCGGGGGGGCTGGAGCCTATCCCAGCATCCTTTCGGGCGAGAGGCGGGGTACACCCTGGACAGGTCGCCAGTCCATCGCAGGGCACACAGAGACAAACAACCATTCACTCTCACATTCATACCTATGGTCAATTTAGAGTAACCAATCAGCCTAGTCCCCATTTGCATGTCTTTGGACTGTGGGAGGAAGCCGGAGTACCCGGAGAGAACCCACACAAGCACGGGGAGAACATGCAAACTCCACACAGAAAGACCCCACGTCCGAGCCGGGACTCGAACCCGGAACCTTCTTGCTGTGAGGCGCCAGCGCCAGCGCTAACCACTGCACCACCGTGCCGCCCATATTAGTCTAGTAATACTCTATTTTCCCTCCAAAAACATTTAAATGATAGTAATAGGAATGGTATTATTAAGCAAAGATATATACAAGTTTTATTTCAGTTTAAACTTTTAATTCATGGTTTCACATAAAAGTCCCTCTGAACTTCTGTGGTTGGAAAGTGACGTCAGCAGTGCTGCAGCAGTGAGACCAGAACCGACAGAGAGAAGAGAGATCTGTGTTTGATGTCAGAATGTTGGGAAGATCTGCGGCTTTAGAAAAATGGATTCAATATTTATTTCGGTGACTGTGGGGGCGAAAGAATCTGTCATAATCTGTGATGTTGTTCTACTTCTCCCATTGGAATGAACAGACTTAGACCTGCTGCTGGTCTCCTAAAGGGGTGGGGAGGTGGAGAAACCCATGTGACACAGTCACGGGAAATAATCGAAAGTGAACTGTCTCCTTTCTCAACTGTCTCTGCTACTACCTTATGCAGTGACTGTTTGCAGGGGTTGTAATGACAGAGCATGTAGTAGAATACTACATTGCCCCCTTGTGGCTTGTTCTGTAATTATTTGGGAGTCCGCCACAGAATGGCATGAAGCTTTATTCCCTGGAGGCTGGAGCACATTTCAGGGGCGGTACCCATCTTCTCCTTTTGTTTCAACTAGAGAGGAGTAACACAATTTTCTATAGAACTTTTGAATTGTTTAACCTGGAGTTTACTTTAATTTAACATAATGCAAGTGTTGAACTGACCAAAACACATAATAAATGTTTTTGTGTGTGTGTGTGTGTGTGTGTGTGAGAGAGAGAGAGACAGAGAGTCCTTAGTGATGATCACAGTCCTTTTGGTGTCACGTTTCCTATATAAGTAACAATCAAATATCAATGTAGAGGAGATGCTATGGGGAGCAATGACCGAGGAGGATGCACCTTGTAGTGGTTCTTGCTGATTTAGAGATAAAACTTCATTTTCATCAAAGTAAGGATGCTTTTATTGAATTTTTTATGACGGCCTTACTTAAGGACCGGACAATGCTGAAGTCAAAGAAGGTAAACAAGCTGAAGAGTGACTCTGCCAACGAAGGCACAGGCGGACCCGCCCCCTTGCCTGTGGATGAAGTCAGTGAAGAGAGCACGTGACCCCCATGTGACCCACGTGAAAATGTTATGTTAGCCATGATATCCTCTCTACATTCACTCTAAAAACTGATATTTGTGACAAGATAGGATTGTGGATGTTTCGCTCACTCTGAGAACTGAAATAACTGCGTTGAGAACTGAAACCAAGGCTAACATCACAATACTCAAAGCTCAAGTCCACACACAAGCTTTGTCACATACAAATATTATACAGGATTATTCAGGTGAAACCAAAGAGAGGGCTGCTGAAACATTTTTTTCTTCTTGGAATGTCAAAGGAATCAATGAACCAGTTAAAGGGAGTAAGGTGCTGGCACATATAAAATATCTTATATCAGATGTTATATTTCTGCAGGAACGCACATGTAAATGGATAAGCCAGGTTTATCTTTTCTCCTTTCCAATTAAGACCAGAGGTGTAGCTGCTTTGATACGCACAGGAGGCATCATTCCACTACTGCTGATAAGGAGGGGAGATACCAGATACTTCCAACACCAATTTGATTATTTTTCAATTATTCTATCATTTGTGTGGGATTATAAAATGCATGAAATAGGGAAAGCGCATCTTTGTAAATTTGGTAGCGCCAGCGTTCCCCTTATTATGACATAGTATTATTGGGCCACTAACATCTGTCCAATTGCCTACTAGTTGGATGATATGGCAGTTGAGATGGAGAGGGAAGACTGTTTCCTTTGACTGCCGGTGCAGACATTTAATCACCAATACCAATGAACAAAGACACGACAGTAACAACCAAATCATTTATAACATCATTTGGAAACAAATTGTGGGACATTTTAAGTTCATGACATTCTCATTCTTACTACCTATATTCTCAAATCCCTCATTTGCTCCTTCCAATTCCACCATTCCACATTAACTATTTAGTTAGCAATAATTTAAGTTGTGTATTTATAGACCCAGTATGAGCAGATGTGCAAGCTGCTTTTCAATCTTCATCTGGAATTTGCAGTTTTCCCTACAGGCTTTCTCAGATGAGTAAGATGTTAACAAGTTGTAAAACTCTGAAGAGAGGAGCTTCTCTGTCTGACTTTGTGAGTGAACATGTAAATGCTAAAGTGAATTTGTATCTTTAGTTTGTTTCTGTGAGAATACTCCTATGAGCATGTGCCTCTATGACAGTACACATACCTGCCTGATAGAAAATTATCTTTTATATGAGATTAGAAATACACTTATTGTGTGTATTGTTCATCTCTCTTGTATCTTGTATTTATGTTCACTATGTTCACTACAAAACTGTAACATTTGTTTCTCAGAATGTTTCTGTTACGCTGGAACTCTGCACAACTTATTTCCAACATTATAAAGAAGATGACATCATGGCCATTCTAACAGAAGCCCTGAGAGGAAGTCAATTTTTTTTCTGTTTGTTTTTGTAATACTCATTTCGGCCACAAGAGGCTGTGTCAAAAAAAGTCTTTCTGAAGTTACACTGATGTTCAGGGCAGCTGGGTTTCCTATCATTTCCCATCTGTCTGTGGATTGCTACAGTGGGGGAAAATGGAATTAGAGAGAAAAGAAAAATCTTATTTAATAAGTTAAATAAGTCAGTAAATATAACAGGGGTTAAACCCCAGCCTCCAGGGTAAAAGTCCCATACATCCAACGTGACCTCCTCATTAGATGTTATGTGATACAATACAGTATATCTACCCTGTATTTAGAGTAATGGAGAAATTTTAAATCACCTGGAAAAAGTCTGGTTTAGACTGGGGTAGTGGTGCACCTCAGCCTCCTGTGGCTGAAATGAGTAATTACAAAAACAGATAATAATAATAATAATAATAATAATAATAATAATAATAATAATAATAATAATAATAATAATAATAATAAAAAAATAAAATAAAAAAATAAAAATAAAATAATGACAAAAAGTTTTTTCACTAGCCTTTCAGGGCTTCCACACATTTAACATGCAGTAAAAAAGACCTCAAAACTAAGTATATATGTAATAATGTAAGTTCATTTTAAATATGATATTATAGCACTCATACTGTTGCTATCTATGTAAGATCAAGTATTGTATGAAAACCCAGATTTTGAATTGAACCCAGTATCTGTATCAATCACATGTGGCATTAGTAACAAACCAAAGTGTTTGAGTATCAGTTGAAAATGCATTGAGTTATGATGAATTGATTTCATTGGACAGACCTTCAGCTGGATACACACACATGCCTCAAAGAACTTACACTGATAAAAAGCAGAACCTACTTCTGTGCAGTTGTTGTTTAATATTGTTGAATACATTTATCAAAAGTTGAAGAAGATTTGTCCCGTCTCCCAGTTTACCCCACATTACCCACATGTATTATTTAGAAGGGAACAGTGCCTCTCTGTGGTTGGAAGACCCTACTGCACAGATCCTCCTGTTGTATACTGTACAAATATAACTCCCACAGACACTCGGGGCATCAGCTTGTAGCACTGCACACAGATATTCTATGACCTGAACAGTAATGTGAAGATCACTGAGCACAAGAGGAGGAGGAGAGCGGCTATAGGCTGTTCCTCAGGATATTAAGAGTACAGGCAAACACCTGATAAAGAAAGAGACACCAGAAAGACACATGATTTATTCATCAGCAGTGACATGTGATCTAACTCTCCTCAAGTTACATGTGTCACTCCAGTCGCCCACACTGAGCCTGAACTGGCAGCACATATTTGCATTAGACATCTCCATGGTGATGTAGTCTGTGTACACACACACACACACACACACACACACACACACACACACACACACACACACACAGGTGAGCTGGAGGGAGACAGGGTGTGGCTCAGAGCTGTCCCCTGCAGGTGTGCAGGCAGGAGGACTCACAGCACAGAGCGACACCAGCTGCTGTTACACAGAGGAGAAACCCTTCAGACAGCGCCGGTAAGTCTCACTTCTGTCTGACAAACGTCTTCCTCTTCTTCAGTGTGAGATGTGCTGTTAACATGTGTGAAGATAAATGTCATCAGAAGAGCACATTACAGCTGGCTAACATCATTCAGAGCATATAGTACACCACATCATAACTACATCAGTCTGAATCTGAATATGGGTTCACCAATAGATGTATTTTTGAAGACATGGTATTCTGTGTTTATGTGGCTCACTATAGCTCATCATCAGACTACAGCAGTATTATAAGTCTCTGTGTGACTATACAATAGAAGTATATTCAGAAGATGAAGAACAACAATCTTTCAGTTCCACTCCTGAAAAACTCTCTATATGGAACATCACCAAACACTTCTAAGGCACTTTCATTTCTCATTTAGTCAAATAACACCAGGAACATGATCAGACCATGTCAACATCTGAGGTCACAAAAAAAACCTCCCTGTCACAGCCGGTGCTGCACCAAATAGTGAGAGCCGTCAGACTGAGTGAGCTGCTGCCAACCTCGTCACAAGGTTTCATCACAGTCTTTATCCTGGTGGCAGCTGTTAGTCTTCAGATATGGTCACAACTCAAACTAATAAATAAATAAATAAATAAATAAATGTAGAGATACTTAAATAAATACATAAAGAAATCTTGAAATGCATAAATAAATAAATGCACAAATAATTAATAAATGCATAAATAAACCAATCAATGCATAAATAAATAAATGTAGAAATGCATAAATAAATACATGTTAAATGTATGCATTTTTTTGCATTTATGTATGTATTTAATTATTTATTCCGTCATTTATTTATTTATTTATTTATTTATACCCATGTCATTTTTTGTCCTTCATAGTCTTGAACCTTGTTCTTTTGAAATGGTCTACAGTCACAGAATCTGCATTCACATCCCATGGCACCATGTTTGTTAAGCAAAGTAAAACATCTGTAGTGGCAGTTTATCCTGCTCATGTCACAGACTTTGGTGTAAGACTAAAGCCTTCACACCACCCCGAGCAGAATCTGTAACCCCCCCCCCTACATTCATGTAAAAGGTGCAGGACAACAACCAACCATTCATCCAGGTGGGAAACCAGTCTGCTGCTGGTGTTTGCTCATTTGAATATTTCCTTGTTTGTTTTCCTCACTTGAGCACGGAATCAGCTGAAGTGACGAGCCCGTAAGACACATCCTACATCACTGCCCGACATGTAGAGGGGTCCTGGTGGATGTTCAAATACATTTGTGTTTCACCAAACTAAGACAAGGAGGTGGTTGATACAGCTCATCCCTTTGCATCAGTACTGTAGATATAAATGATCATCTGTAGTAAAGAGATAGAAACATGTAAAACACTGGAAACAACATTTATCCCAAACATCCTGTGGTTTCTGCGGTGCTACGTTCAACTCCACCTGGTTTATTCCCCCACAGGAGGCTCAGAGGAAGATGAACTGGACCTTTTTGGAGAACGTCCTCAGTGGGGTGAACAAGTACTCTACTGTGATTGGTCGCATTTGGCTGTCCGTGGTCTTCCTCTTCAGGATCCTGGTGTACGTGGCGGCGGCTGAGCAGGTGTGGAAGGACGAGCAGAGGGATTTTGTGTGCAACACGGAGCAGCCCGGCTGTGAGAATGCCTGCTTCGACCACTTCTTCCCCATCTCACAGGTGCGTCTGTGGGCTCTGCAGCTCATCATGGTGTCCACCCCGTCCCTGCTGGTTGCACTGCACGTGGCTTACAGGGAGCACCGGGAGACCAAACACAAGCGCAGATTGTACCGGGACAAAGGGAGTATTGATGGAGGTCTGTTCTGCACCTACACAGTCAGCCTGGTCTTCAAGATAGCCTTGGAGGTGGGCTCTCTGCTCGCCTTCTACTTCCTGTACAACGGCTTTGAGGTGCCCATACTGCTCCGCTGCAGCCAGAGTCCCTGTCCAAACACCGTGGACTGCTACACCGCCAGAGCCAAGGAGAAGAAGATCTTCCTCTACATCATGGGCTGCACATCCATCCTCTGTGTCGCTCTGAATGTTGTGGAGCTCATGTACATTACATGGAAGCAGCTGTGGAAGTGTTTCACCAGGCGCTACATCCCAGTGGAGGAGAGTGCTCTCAGCCACAGCCGGCCTCCTGTTTCCATTGTCAACAAGTTTGTCTCCGCTGAGCCCACAGCAAACACAGAGGACAGCAGCACACAGCCCACATGTGAAAACCAGCCTGTCCAGTCCTCATGTTCCGTCTCACAGTGAGACCACAGTGAGACCTGGTTTCCTTGACAACCAACACTGCTCACAGGAGTCACTCTTCAACACCTGTACTACAAGAGAGGAGCTGTGGTAAAGCTGTGGTATCATCTGTCAGTGTGAACACACTCTAGTTACAGATGATGGAAAATATCATTTGACTCTAACTCCAGAGTGAAATCTCCACTTAAGGACTGGAAGGTTGTGAAGATGTTTGTATCATGTCCTCTGTGAGGAGCTTTGTGAGGTGTGACATAATGACCTTGATGATGTCATACTAATGTGACAACGCTGATGTCATCAGGGTTATCTCAGGTCAGGCGATCCTACAATTTTTGCAGTTTGAAAGATGTGGGTGTTCACCAGGCAGGAAAGGTCCATTGAAAGATGCTATGAAGTTACATCATGGGAAATGTAGTTTTACAATTTGGACAACACTATACAGTCAGGATGTCTTGGCTTCTAGTGCTTTAATTTTGGTGAGGGTTGCCTCACAGCAAGAAGGTTCTGGGTTTGAAGCGGTGGAGTTTGCATGCATGTTAATTTTAATAATCTTTTTAAATTGCTTGTAATAGACCTTTTTCATAGCAGACATTTTGATGTATCACAGCAGGAACAGCACAAGTGAAACATCTTGTTAATGATGGCTCAGTGTCACCAGTAAACTGACACAACCCCAGGAGGCTGGGAGCAGCTCACTCACTTTTTCTGCTATGACAAGCCAAAATGGATCTTGTGAAAAAAGTCTATTAAACATATCTGAATGGTCTATATCTCTCCTCAGAACTGATGAACTGGAGTCATGTGTAGCTATAAATGAAATCAGAATAACTTGAATTATCTTGAGTTGTTATTTGATAAAAATAACCACGAATTAAAGTCCATTTTTCTTTCATTCCACCAGATTTATTTTAAAATGTTGTTTTGTTTATTTCCCACATTTTCCCCAATAATCTTTTTTTATCACAGATACCTTCATGAGCTCTTTCAAGTTAACCTTAGTAACATTTCAATTGACTTCATAATACATTTTATTGTCACGTTGCAGATATCAGTAGTAATTGTCATTGTTGATAACTAGAATGCATTTTCATTTATCTCTAATGTGTTTGTACAAAGTCACATTAAACAAGTTTGTGTAAAAATCCCACAGAAGTGAAAGAAAAAACTACAAAGACTAAACACTAGAAGTGTCTTTCTTAACCTGACTCAGGGTCAGTCAGCAGTTTGTACTAACTTAAGATCAGTCAGTCTTCCTTTAGCTGTAATTAAATATTGAGTGTATTATGGCTGTAGACAGTGTATCCTATAAAGAACTGATTTCAGCTGATACTGTCAAACTACATTAAGTACTGATCACTGTGTGAGAGGCATGAAAAACAAAATGTACTTTCTCTCAATCTAAATGAAGCATAAAATTAAGATTAGTTAGATGCACCTTTTTTTTTGCCATGAACATGTTAAGTGCAATAATAAATGATTAAGTCACCCTGAAGTAAATCGGGTCTTCTTTCTCAGCTACATGGTTGATACATTATTCAGTGGCTTCTCTGTTGGAACTGCTGCTTTGATTGACAGTTCATTTCAAACAAGACCCCAGAAATGAGACCTGACACAGTTGCACTTTTCTGGTCCGTCGTTATCCAGATATGAACACTTCACTCTGCTGTGGTGGAAAAGTCAAAATAATCTCCTCTCTAACCACGTCACCTCAACCTCGATGGAAAACGTCATGAGGTCAAAGATGTGAAGGAGAATTCATCAGGACTTAGGAAAAGAATCTGACTGCACTGACACTAAGATTTAAAAAAAAAAAAAAACTTTATTCATAACACATGGAGGATAAATCCTCCTTTCCTACCCACAGAACAAAGCAAACAGGACTGAAATGTTGAAATAAGATGACATGAAAGAAAAATAAATTAGTGGTAATAAAATAAAGAAAGTAGAGAAAGTTGAGTCATTAAAAATAATAATTAAATAGAAATAAGGAACTCAGGAAATCAGAATAAATTATATTCAGACAGTACATAGTTTCCTGTTGTAGGTGATTTTGACATTTCTATTCATTTGTTAAATAGAAAATAAATGTTTAGGTTTTTACACAATGGGAGGGGATTTAGTGAAACAACATTTATGTACAGACTATAGTATTTAGTTATGATGATGATATTGTTAACTATGAATTCAATCTGCTTGTTCTTCATGACGACTCCTGACTGATTTAAAGAGGATGAATCTATATTTATGGATTCAGGCTTCAGTGGATCAGATAAGGATTTCCATCAGTTCTGGATGGTCTCACAAACATAAAACAGCTGCTCTGATGTTTCTACATTTATTTGGCTCTGCTGTGGTGAAACTACTTTAAATGTTGCTGCAGCAAGGAATTGTGGGACGGCATTTCACCTTTCCTCTCATAAAGGAAGGTCCAGTGTTTCCTCTCCTAAAGGAGATAAGATAGGAAGCACTGAAGCTCCTTTCCTCATCACTTAGAGAAGTGGAGCAGCTGTGATCATGGCTGCTGCTCAGATACTTCAGCTCGTTTCACCCAGTGAGGAGCCTTCACAAGAAGAAAAGATATATCAAATATAATGTGTTAGGATTAAACAAATGAGACAATGCGTTGAGTAGCAGGTTATACAGGTGTTGATAGGTACATTTTGTTTACGAGTGTATTTACCAAAATGTTTAAGGGCAATTCAACATCTATGAGCAGTTGAGGTTGAGATTTTAACTGGTGAGAGTTTAGATATAAAGTCTGTTACTGATAAGGCGTGAAGAATTACATAAATACTAAATACTGATGAGCATTAAATACAAGGAAACCAATGTTCTAGTTGAGAAACCATATCAGTTACAGCACGGCTGCTTTGTTTTGTTTCCACACAGTAATTTTCCAGTCGCTGTGCACACCGTACAAAACTATTCCTGAGCGGCAGTGTGATCTGAACAAAATGGCAAATGATGGAAAACAAATCAGACTGGTAAAAAACAGTTTGTTTAATAGTAAGACTGCTGGTGGCAGTGGGTGATTTCAAACTATATACACAACGCACAAGAATCAACATCTTCAAATCACAAACTACACACAACAATAGAATCCATTTCAAAGTCCATCTGTTTGTATGTCCCACAGGGATAATTAAGACACCCGAAGCTGATGCCAGATTTTAATTATCAGCAAAATCTTTAATGAACATGCTATACACATTTCTATAAAAAGACAAATTGTACAGATCATATTACAGTATAACTCCAAACAACTGTTTTTTTTTAACTCAGTGTGTAAAAAACAAGTCATATATAAGGGCACCAGTCTGCAGCAGAGTTTACTCATTCAAGTCCTGAGATTCTGCTTAACAACAACAACAAAGGAACAAGTTAGTCATTTTTTTCCAACACCACCACAGGCTGCATGGCCTGCAGCTGTTTCAACATAAGGTCAGTGACACCTGAAAAGGCCGCATCTATAATTATCTTAACCTTACTGAGTGATTTCAGATTCTGAGGGTTGCTGAACCTGACACAGGTGTCTTTGGTGTTCACACTGGATGTTTTTCTCCATGTTTCTGGCACATCCACCTTCCTCGTGAAGGTGTGTTCAGATTTATTTGACTGTTCCAGGAATTTTAAGAAAGACATTTCAAATCCCATAGGTTTAAAGGAGGCCAGTGGAGCACTCTGCTCAGTCATCTCCTCCTGCAGCACTGCAGGGCACGAGGAGTCCGATTCATCGTCCTTGCTGTAAACAACGTCCGTCTTTGTTGTGCGTGGAATTTTCTTGCGTTTCACTATTTTTTCAATCAGCTTTCGTGGACGTCCTCGTTTACGTTTGAGCACCACAGAGCCATCAGAACTCTCATCATTTGATAGTTTGCTGTCGAACAACGCTGCAGGGATCCCCGTGGAGGTCCTTTTGCGCAGGACGGGTTTTGAATATCCATATTCTCCTCCTTCCAGGCTGGTGTCTGCTGCCAGCTCTGCTTCTGACAGGTCAGAGGTGTTGTCTGATTTGGAGTCATCACTCCTGATGGACCGACACTTCTGCCTGGGAACCTTTTTACAGAATATGAAGTGACTCCTTTGCTGTTCCAGGTACTTTTCTGACAGCCCATGTCCCATGTAATGTTTTAATATGCTCCGCTCTGATTTCATGACTGACTCACAGCCTTTGATCATGCAGGGGTATTGCAGAGGAAATTTCTTCGTGCACATTGCAGATGCCTCCACTTTAGATTTCAAGGAGGGTTTTCCATATTTTGTCCAGTGATTGTTTTTTGACTTGCTGACTCTCTTCGAGTCATTCGCCCTCTGTATGATCTTTTTATTGCTCTCAATGTTTTCCTTCCCGTTACTCGTCTTGGTAATTTGGTAAAGCAAAGTCTTTGAGTTCTGTTTCATCCCGTCTTCTTTTATCTGTTGATTTTTGAGTTTAGGCTGGTACAGGTCCTGATGCTTTTTCATGACATGTCTGAGCAGGTTTGACTTTGTCGCATATGAGCGGTCACAGCCTTCGATTTCACACTTGAACGAGCCATTGATTTGTTCTGGTTTGGAAAGCCTTATATCTTTGTGCTGTTCTTTGACATGCCCAATATACTTCCAGAGAATAGTGAAGGATACTGTGCAACCTTGGTGGCCACAAGCAAACCTGCCGAGCTTGATGCCAGATAAGAGATTGCCAACCTTATCGAGACTGAATTCATGCAGCTGAAGATAGTGCTGCAAAAGGTTGGGAACCTCTTGGAAAACTCGGGAGCAGTCTTTGACTTGACATCTGAATTCAGAAATTTGGGGGATCTCTGCCTCTGGCTCCTCCCCATCATGTTCCATTATTTCATCCAGTCCCTCACTCTGGTCCTGCTCCTTGTTCACCTCCAGTGCTGACAAAGCAGACTGGTGAACAGCCCTGTAATGGAGGATCAGATTATGCTGGATGGTGAAGGCTGCCACACAGCCTTGATGAACACAGCGATATGGTCTGTAAGGACTCGTGGCATCTTCCGAGTTGGACTTCTTCTCTTTTGTCTTCTTGGTCACATCCATGCTCGGCTTCACGACTGACTGCCTGTTGACGGCACACTGTCTGTCGAGAGACGTAAGCCCGTTAGCCTCAGGTGTGGAGGACGGAGCTTCGGGCAAATGGTCTCCAACTTGTTGACCACTTGTGTGTTGAGTGGGCACCCTGGGCAGGTTTCTTTGCTGTCCATGTGTCCACTGTTGTGTCGCCGTCCCTGCTCGTGCTGACTGAAGTGCTGACGTGGAGGTGTGGGCCTGTACAGGGGGAGACACTGCTTGTTTGTGCATAGGGGCTGTTTGCAAAGGATGAATGACTGTGGAGCGATTGTCATCTTGAAATTTCGGATTAGTTATGTCCATGTTAGTGCCTGGTACAAATGCCTGTGATACGTAATCACATTTTGCTGCGTCTTGGAATGAATAGAGATGTGCTCTGTTCTCCAGTGAAGGAGTCGCTGCTTTGGTCTGAGCTGCTGGAGCCTGGCTTGGCCTGGCAGGCCACTTTTGAATAGCAGCGGATGCAGCAGCTTTGGCCAACCTGCGCTTCATATCTAGATCTGCGATTTCCTCAGCTGATAATTTGTGAGCTGACTGGTAGTGAGTGCGAAGGTTTGAGTTTCGAGTGAATGTTTTACTACACTTTTGACACTTGAATGGAGCATACTGACCATACCTTTTTTTAACCACATTCACCATCTCAAGTGTGTAGTTGTGAGTTTTGGACAGGTGTTTCCAAAGCGCTTCACTTGACATGGAACTAAATGTGCAGTTCTCGTTCTCACAGGCGAACGGCTTGACAGAGGTGGACGAAGGCGAGCTGCGTGACTGGACCTTTGCAAGTGCTGTCTGGCTGGTTGGAACATTGGTATTTTGTTTCATGGAAGCCGACATCTGATCAGACATTTCTCTGACCAAGTTGAGCCTTTCAAATGCACTTTGAATTTCTGTCATGCATTGTTGCTGGCTGGCAGATAACTGCGTGGGTTCAGAATCTGTATCATTCGCTGCAATCCCTGTGGGGCTCAGTACCTCCTGCTGCGGGTCAGAGGTCTCTCTGAAACAAGTAAAGCTGCGTGTGTTCAGTAGCCGTTCGATTTCGCCAGAGGTTCCCGGGATGATTGCACAGTTTTCTTGAATGACTTGTCCTTGACTAGCTGAGTCACTCTTTACATCACGAAACAGCTGATGATGTCCAGAATTATTGGAAGGACTGCACATTAGGCCAAAAGACATCTTTGAGTTGGCATTAGGGTCAGTGTTGCCTGAAAGACACGAGCTGTTTCTACGCTGAAAGTCGCCGGCCAAAATCTGCTCCCGCAGCCTCTTCTTAATATCTTGCTCAGCCGTCTTCCTTTGTGTCTCAGCTTGCTTGCCACTTGTTGTTGCTGGACATATCTGACTATCAGGTAAGACTGTTTGCATCACTGGGTTTGAATCCGTTTCCGGTGTCTGAATGGCTGTTTCAGAGTCATAGCCTTCACTGTGAATTTCCCCGGGAGTCACATGGTTTGTGGAGACACTGCCAGGAACGGCAATGAGGGGGGTTTCTGTGAGGATTTGAGAAAGAAGCGGGTCAGGGAATTCACTTTCAGCAAATGTATGAATGCTTGGCTGAGGATAATGGATTGTACTATATGAACTGTCCTCTCGTCTTTCCCCTCGCTTCAGCTGGACATTTTCTGTATGCTGTATGACTGAGCTCCCTGGCAAACGCTCACCGGCTCCATAGGGAACACATGGGTTTTGAAACAATGGCTGGGGAGCAGGTGTGTGCACAAAAAGATCAGACATATTGGATTCGGCCATTATTTGTTTCAGAATGTCATCATTTGACTCACCATTCCCATATGTTGGCAAATTATCTTGTGGGTAATTGGCAGTGGGGTAATCCTTTGTGGCTGTTGAAACACTTGTTACAGACTCATGAGGCTTTTCCTCATACACCGCAGCAGGATTATAGGACAACTGTGGCTGAGCAACCGGGCCAACAGTTTGCTCTGAATTGAGGAGGTCAAGAAATGATGTTGGCAAATCTGTATTGAGTTCCGACTCTTCATATGGTTTGCAGATGGTGCGCTTGGACAAGTGTCCTCCGAGGGATTTGGGACTATTAAATTGTCTGAAACACCTGCAACAAACAAATTTGCCGTCCCTAAGAATAGCTGGCCATTTGGTTCTTTTGTTTCTTCTGGCCCGCTTTTGATTTTCGGGATTGTTTTCAGAGACAACCGGCGCATTTGGAGGCTGGCTGTTGCTGCTGTTCTGGCCTGCGCTGTCTGGAGAGGGAAAACTGGACTGGGTTTGCATTGTTTTTTCTGGCGCCTTGGAACCTGAGACTAAACTGCTCTGCATCTGCGATGTATATGGCAGAAGAAGGTCTTCTGCTTGCTGTGACACTTCCTTTGCACTGTCCATGCATGAGGGGAAAACTGACTGGGACCCATTTTCCATAAGTGGTGGCTGCAAGGACTCTGTTGGTCTGTTCATTGTTGATCCTATCATAGAGCAGGATGGGACACTGAGTGGGAGAGCAGCACTGCTAGAATCGACTTGAGGCATCACTTGCAAGTTAGATGGATAGACTTGTGAAGAGCCACAATTTTGAATTTGCTCGATACCAGGGGCTGAGTGCCAGTTCTGACCACCTGACACTTGGGAGTGGGGGTTTGTATCACTTCCTAACTGAGAGAGAACAATGGGATTCAAAACATTTTCCATCAGGAGTGAAGCATTGTGGTTGTGGGCCGATGAAGAATGGGAATGCAGAGTATTATAGTTTGAGGTTGTACCCATGTTGGTGTAAGGAGGTGATTGGATAACGTTCTGCCTCTGAACTCCATGAACTGGTACTTTGCTGCTGTTGCAGTGCTGATTCTGAGGTGAGGTGACTGAACTGAGATGTCCCACAGACGGTGCGCTCTGTGCTGAAGTGTAGGTTATCTTGATTTTAGTTCTGGTAACTTTCCATTGCTCATAGAAATCTGGGTGAACCGTTTTCATGTGCTTGGAAACACTTCTGTAGGAGCTGTAGTGCCTCGTACACAATTCAAATGCACAATGAAATCGCTCTCTCTGTCCTGGAGGGGAACCTGTAGTAGTTGAGGACGTCACAGAGTTCTCGGATCTGCTCCCAGCAAACGGCTGCGGGGTTACTGTTGGAGGAAGTGGCTGTGACATTGCTGGCTCTATGGAGTTTTGGGGCGGTGATACTGATAACAGGTTGCTGCTACACATCGGCCGCTGCTGTCCTGGCAATGGTAAGTTGCAGTCAGAGTTGTAACTCATTGATCCAGCATTCACATTAGTGGGGAACACTTGAGTCTGGCGTTGTAAGACATGTGAATTACAGCCGAGTGGCATGTTACCTAAGTTTGATTCAAATGGATGTACTGATTGATTCTGCTGAGGTGGTCTCATGTAATCAAAAGAGTGACCACCTGAACCATCTCTGTGTCTGTTAGGATCAGACATGTGGGAGTTCACAGGCTGAATCACAGAACTACTTAAACTCTGACTGGTGGGGAAAGGCGGATTTTGTGGTTCATGTTTGACTCTGTAATGTCCTAAGGTTTCCACAGGTGCTTGTGAAGATTTGAGCAAATCCTCAATGGACACTGGCAGCCTTCCCTGATCTGGATTAACAGCACTTTCACTGCTCCAGTTCTCTTGGGAATTCTCTAGTTTAACAGGAGTCTGGTCTGAAAGCATTTGCTCGATGAGTGAAGGGCCAGGCTGGATATTTTGTGAGGTCTGCTCAGACGATGGCTTTTCCTCTTGAGTGGCATGTTCCTTTTGGTGCAAATCCAGCTGCTGTTGTGAATGTAATACTTTCCCACAGTCTACAACTTTACAAGTGAAAGTTTTATAATGTTTTGCCTCATGGTCATACAGTTTGAAGGCCTCATTGAAAACCTTTCCACAATTAGGAAACATGCATCTGGCCTTAAAAACAGAATGTGTTTTCCTGTGTATAAGGAGTTCAGTGTTGGATAAGAAACTTGCCTTGCAGTTTAACTGTATACAGATATAAGGCTTCACACCACAGTGGACCTGTAAATGATCGTTCAGATGGGTGACGTTAACAAAGTGGCGGCGGCAGTACTGGCAAACAACCTTTTTGGTCTGCATTTCCAGGAATGTCTTTGCCTCCTCGTCGTCCCCGTGAGCTTTAACGTGTGCAATGAGATTTTTGAAAAATTTGAAGGTTCTTCTGCATTTTCCAACAGGGCAAATATTGTCATCACTACACTCAATGTTACACCTCTCCACTCTGGCCTGAACATTATGAGCCGACCCCCCATTCTGCCCCGGGGAATCACCATTTTCATACAGTTCATTTTCTGTCTTGGCCTTCAACGCTGCAATAACAGGAGCAGCCGTTTTGGGATTAGCCAATTTCTTGTTTGTTTTCATTGCAGTTAGCCTTTCCTTGCACGACTGTTTGACATGTGACGTTACATGAGGAATCAATGTATCTTTTGAGGTAAAGGTCTGAGCACATATAGGACAGCTGTATACTCCTCCGCTCAGGTGAGTCTGTGCATGGCGTACAATCCTGTGGCCAAGGAACTCCTTGTCACACAGCACACAGTACTGCATGTATGCCTGCCAGTTTCTAAACCTGGCAGATATGAAACCTTTTTCTCTCAGTTTCTTCATTTCTCTGTTTTTCTGTTTCTTGTCTGTGATATCTTTTAGTTCGTAAGTGCCACTGACTAAATGGTCTGGGATATTGTTAAACCCCTCCTTACTGAGGGAGTCTTCCTCTTCTTCTGGGCTCTCGGTGTCATTCAGTAAGTCAATGGATGACACTATTGAAGCTTCTTCACCCATTAGTGCTAGACAATGACGCTTAAGTGTTTTCCAGTCCCAGAACTCTGGGTCAAAAGGCCATTGGGTTTTAAAAACCAGCAGGAGCTCACAGCGTAGTGAGTTGGGGACGGGCATATTCTCCTCCTCTAGTTTTTGATCCGGCTCGTTGTAAAGCGTCTCCACAGCGTAGTAAGAGTCCACTGTTGGCTCCAGGAGGAACTCAGTCAGCTGACAGGCCCGCTTGACCTCTAAGTCAGAGGGAAGCAAACAGGAAATCGTTTTACACACAGTGGCCTTGGTGTTTCCATCATCTGAGTCCAATCGCAGAGCTCTTATGCACATTTCTATGCACACTGGTAGTCCAACACTGTCCATCTGTGAAGAAGAGGAGGACGAACCATTTAAAACTGCCAAACACACACAACAACATTATTTTGAAACTCACTTAGGACTTAAACAATAAATAAAGCAAATTCATTTTGAGAAAAGAAAAACACTTTAAATAAACCAGGGTCATTGAAGTAACTATATCTGGCTGCTGGTTCATGTTAATATCTCATATTCATAAAATGCATCTAAGAGTTGAGGCTAGGACACCCCACTGTATATAACACGAACTAAAACAGCTTGAACATGAACAATGCTATCTTAGTGACAGAATTAGACCATGGCCACTGTTGTCTATGCACAAAACCTCCTTTCACACCCCCATGCAGCATTTCATAATAAAAAGATTCTTTTAAACTCGTGCAACCACAGGATAAAGTCAATGTATTGGGAGTGTTATAATAAATGAAAGCTGAAAGGTAAATGGTGTTTTTCAGATTCAGTTTTCTGTTTTCCCACTCATTGATAATATCCAAAGAGCTGACTGTATACTGACCTCTGATTGGATGACCTTGATGAGGAACAGGATGTGATACATGGTTTTGGAAAGTAAGGACATCTGGCGGCATCTGTCGAGGAAGGCCTGCTCTGACGGCTCCAGACGCTTCAACAGCTTGCTCCAAAACAGAGTGAGCTCCCTGCATCGAAAGAAAGGGGAGAGAGGGAATTCATCACCTATTAATTCATCAAGTCAGAAGTGACCGAAACCTCAGCTATTAACAACGTACAACATACAGCGACACAAACAACAAACAGGAAAGTGTCAACTGAGATCAACTGAGGACACTGAGGGGGTGATTCAACGTGTGGTCTGTTTGGACTCGATGATCAGAATCAGACCAATTCTGAACTATGGCAGTTTTTCCCACTATGATGTTCCTTAATGCTTCTTCACATCAGTATACATGGGATAAACATGCTGCCATACTAATTCCATATTAACACAGATTCTGAAACTAAGAGAATCACCATGTTATTTTGTTTTTCCCTGTCAACGATAAATCTTTTTCTCCCTCCATAAAGAAAGGAACTTGTGTCTATGCAGATATGCATGGGGTGGCTTGTGTTTCCTTACCAAGCACAGTATGTGTCTCCTCGGAGAAGCTGTCGGCTCAGGAAGGCTGCGCATAAACTGAAAGCTGCCGTCTCATCTCCATCTGACTCCAGATTGCAGATCATCTCTAATGCATCACGGCAGTCCTCCTTTGAAAGCTGCACAGATTGAGGTCATAGAAACAGTCATTAAGTTTCACTAGAAGCAATGCATGTTCACTTAAGAGAACACCTACAAGCTGAAACACTAAAATGCCTTCAAAGCTGACAGTCTCACAAACTGTGTTTAAGTGTTATCTGTGAAGTTGTGCAGGGCTTGAGACTAACGTCATCCCGTCGACGCTAGAACATGTGTTTGGGACGAACACAGATCAGGCCTGGGACACCTCCAGGATGAAAGGATATATTTAATTTTTCATTAATTTCTTTTAAACTATAGTTTAGGAAATTACAGACTGAAACAAGCTCTGACTGACTACAATGGAGCATGTGTTCTCCTGCTGTTGCTATAGTTACTATCACTCAGCGCAACATCTTTAATGTTCCGGTGCAGACCTCATAACCCCCCAGTCACAGCTCACTGGAAGGATCTCATGAATTTGCTGTGCTAACAAAACAAAACACAGAGTGACCACAGACCAACACATCCTGAGTCTGAGGAAACTAAAGGACACAATTTAATGTTTGTATTTTTTATTAGGCATTGAATTGAAACAGTCACCAGCTGCTTGGTGATTATTTCCTAGCTAACTTAAGCTACCTGTATGCCTACATGGACTGTTACTATGGTTACTATCACTCAGTGTGAGATCTGAAATGTTCCAGTGCAAAACTCATAATTCAACTTACCCATTATTATTCCTACTCCAGCCCTGAATATTAAGAAATACTACGAAATACAGACACTAATATTGGTTTTTAAGAGCAGAAACAGGTCCACAGCATAATTATATAATTATCTACTCTAACTATAAAGCAAGAATCTCTGTCTGTCTGTGTGTGTATGATTTTAGCAAAGTAAAGAAACAAATGTCAGAGTTAGCACACTGGTATTTGTTCTTATTCGTTTCACCCAACACACACACATTTCTAAGGTTACCTAAACACACCACAGGTTAATTGTTAAGTATCAGGTAGAAAAGATGAGACAGATAATAAGCAGACATGATTGTTTCCTTCACAGGAAACACACAACAACAACAACCTTGACCTTTAAGAACTGTTGCGTGTGTGTTATTGTGTATTACAGTAGTTGGTTCAACTAACATGATGCAATGCTGTACTAGGTGTGGTCACATCACTTATCCACCCACATATTGAAGCCAAACAGTCACCGTGTAGCTACACGTACCTCGTCCATGAGCCGATCCTGTTCTGAGGTAGCACAGAGGCAGACCAGGTACATCTGCTTGAAAGGTCCCTTCCCTTGGAGAAGAGGACACTCAGAGCATGTCTTTGCCAGCAGTGCAGCCTTCCCAAGCTGCTTCTCCTTCATCAGTTGCTTCACTCTCATCTCCAACAGGACCTGCCCCTCCTGCACCAGGAACTCCTCAACTGAAACCAGGGGGAGAACAGATAGTGACATTGTGTTCTGACTTCATGAATCATGTTTTAATTGTTTTACATAATATTCCTGTCACTTTATCTTCACAAGCCTACCAGGGCCTGCTGCAGAAAGGAATCCCTACATCATGATGCTAACACCACGCTTCACAGTGGTTACGGTGTGTCTCTGGTGATGTGTAAAAGTATTACTGTATCACGTCATCATCATGTTTTTGGTATCATGGCCAAAAAGGTCAGCTTTCTTCTTCTTTTGTTTCAGTCTCCCACATCAGTGTTTCTGTGGGAGACTAAAACAAAGCAGAAGAAAATTGACCATTTCACATTCGCTGCGACAGAAACTGCCGCTGCTACAATTTCACAAAGTCACACTTCCACGACTCTACTGAGGGCTTTTAATTTGAAACAATGCAGGAAGTGGAGATGTGGCGACACCCGGCCGAGGTGAGAGGGAGGGAGAGAAAGAAGAGAAAAGAAACAGGTAGATTTAACCTGACATGAAGTTAGATACATTACAACACAATCATGGACCAGCAGTAACTTCTTACCGGCCCTCTCTGTGTGCCTGTCTGTCAGGGTGATACACCTGTCTACTTACTCTGAAAACCAGAGCACAACTCACTTTGTTCTGTCTGTGGACTTTCATTGGACAGGAGGCCTTGCAGGACTCTGTTGGTCCAAACCCCATCATACTGAGCCAAAGCAGACAGCAGGGATAGCTGAGTGAGTCCATTCTCCTGTAGCGTACTGTGAGCAAACTACACACAACAGGAAGACAACATTACTCACAAGGTGTGTGACAATGTGATGTTTGAGACTATTTTTCAGCATTTTGAAGGGTGTGAATTTCAAATGAAAAGCAAATGTATGGAAACTTAATCAGTTAAATTAAAGGCTGTGAACCATGAAGATGACGAGTGAATTCTGTTTGAAGTCCTATTTCCTCATTTGAACCTGAAGCCCTAACAACACTGTATAAGCACAGGCTGTGGACATTTTGAAAGCTGACATATTTTGACTCTAAACTTTTAGAAGGACTAGTGCCACGTTCACACTGTGTAACTTGACACAGTGTTAGTCACAAACTAAGTTATAGACATCTTTACCTGCACAGATGACTTGAATTCTTTCCACAGGCCGTCTGGAACATCCTCCTTCAATGAGAGCAAAAGCTCCACAAAACTCCTGCAGAACAAAGAGGAAATAAACAAGAACATGACATTGACTTCGGCTGCACTTTTAAATATAATCACAGAAATGTTGATAGACTTGACAGGAAAGCTGTAATTCAGCTTTTGTTACAGGGCTGCATTCAGCATAATAATGAATGGTTATGGGGGTTAAGTATAACTTATCTGCAGTTATTCGAAAAAAGGTACTTACAGTGACAGCCTTTCAACTACAAGAGGAACATTTTCACACTGCAGGGAGAGGTATGGAGAGGCTTGTGCGTAACTCAGCAGGGCGACTATGTACACTTCCACCAGCGGCAGAGGCTCCTCCTCTATCTTCCAGCGGCCTGCGTACTCCAGCAGTGTCTACAGAGAGGGAACAACAGCCATTTAAAGAGGCCCTGTGTGTACTTACAACCTTTCCCCGGTAGGGTTGCTTGATTATGGCAAAAATCATAATTGCGATTATCTTGATCAATATTAAGATCAATATTTAGTCAATGAATTTGGAAACATCAAACATTTATTGAACTTTAAAAAAAAGTTGTGTTTTTAACATTGTAGCTTGAACTTTAAATACAATTCAACAGAGACGGATATATAGATGGATAGATCGTCGCTAAACAGCACAACAATAATCGTTTTTTCTTGATTATCATGGTTTCATAATCGTTGGAAGCCAAATAAAAAAATAAAAAAATAAAATTTGATTAATGGACCATTTAGCACGAGAACTAATAACGATCAGGGCTGAAAAGACATGAAATGAGCATCACCTAAGGTCTCTACACAGATATTTACACTAGTGTCCCTAAATGAAAAACATTCCATGAAAATGAAGGGGTTCAGTTTTCACTGACTGAAGATTACTAAAGAATTGTGTAACATTAAGATGTACTTGGGACCTAATGATGGATTTAATGAATGCATCCCCTTTCAAACAGCATTAAGTCTGAATTCTTTATAAGCTCTTGGAATAAGGGTTGAGATTTTAGCACTTTAAACAATCTGAATTCAGTATTGAATTTGAATTTTTATTTTTACTGTCCAACTTTTCAAAGTTACTAAAATTACAAACAACACCTTAAAAAGAAATAAGTTTAATTCATTCTCAAATCATTTGTGTTCAGAGGATGCTCAGTATACACAGTATAAATATGTATGTAGTAGCAGATGGCTACTTGCTCCAAATACTGACAGTCAACTAAACATTAATCCTTAATTTACTGATATGATACGAGTTAAGTTTCAACTGGGAGACTGTGGCTGCAGAAAGTGTATTTTATATTTTACAGAAGCCTCCTCCCTCTCTCTCCAGCAGTTGGAACTACAGATACACCCAGAACACCATTGCATAATATTAGGACTGCAAAATTAATTAAATATAATTGAAAGTGCAATATCCAAATTGCAGGAGCTGCAATTTCTTTTTTTGATAAAAGGTAAATGTGTCACAGCAGACCATAAATGAAGCTTTGTGGTGCTACAGAGACACCCTGACCTATAAAAGATATTCTCCAGATGTAAGAAAACATGTGTTTTTGGTACAGCACAACCCAAAAAAAACATCATTTAAAAAAAATTTCAGTAAAAATAAAATGAAAAAATGACAATTCCAGCTGAAACAGTGACTCATTGCAATATCTGCCAAATGAATGGCAATATGACTTTTGTGCACATTTTTCAGCACTACATTATGCTAATGTTTCTATTATTTTGTCCAGGGTAGATAACAGAAACAAATCACTGTATAATCCAATACAGCAACAGGAACACAAACTACAAACAAAATGATCATCAAGTTGAATCAACGCCTCTCTAAAGCTGTTTAAATAAGAGCTGAACATTATAACCTTAATGAAGGAGGATTTATTGCACGACTGATGGATTCAATTTAACCCAATAAACTTCATTCCCATGTTGATTTATTCTGATGAGAACAGATACAACACCTACTCAGTTTTCCTGCCTGTAGCATTCTTAGTCATTGTGACCATTCACGCTCAACTTGGTCAGAAAAAGAAACGCAGGCTTGTCAGGCTGGATACCTGCAGGAGATAGCGGGAGGGGGGAAACAAGCCAAGTGCAAACAGCTCTGTTTACAGAACTCACTCTATACTTCAAGGATGTTTCAACTTCAGCCTACACGCTCATGATCCTCCGCCCACAGCTTCTCCCTCTGGACTCTTTACTCTGCTGCTTACCACTCACAAAAACAAACTGAAACACGGTCAAAACAGAGTATCTGTCTGGACTGCATGTGGTCAATGTGTAAAGATGAGGATGTAGTTAAAAACTGTCGTGGAACCACTGTAAACATTTACTTTCAATGGAAAGTACCAGAAGCTGCTGAAGCTAAATGGAAAGACATTGTTTTTCTTCTTCTGTACATTTTATACTGTTCTCTATTCTCTCTGTCTGAAACACTATGTTAGAGCTCAGGGCTTTAAGGCCCCCCTCCTCCCTCTGAAGCTGACCAATCAGAACCCAGTGTGCTCTGATTGGTCAGCTTGCCAGAAAACATTCTACACACTTGTGTAAACGAACAGTTGTGTTGGCTTCATTGTGGAAGCATCGGTTCTGCCTTATTGTTTTGTGCAAGAGTGCAATTCTGAACCAGAAGATGACAGACCTGATCCACCTTCACAAGCTGGACTGAAGCAGAAAACGAGCGTACCCACTGTCAGGCAGCCGGAGCGAGGGAAGAGGCAGAAATATGGAGATTGCTGCGCATCAAAAATGAAGCTCTAACTGTGCGTGGTTTCTAAAGCAGTCCTCCTTGAAGTGCAGGCTCACACCTTAATGTAGGTATTTTGGAGCAGTGGAGAACCATGGGAAAAATGAAGTAGATTTCTCCAGGCAGTTAAGAACACGCTGTTATTTCAGCATGGCTACAAAACTAAAGAAAACTAAAGCACATAACTAAAGCAAGTAGTTATGTGCTGTGCCTTGTGTGGGGAGTACCAAGCTTGCAGGGGGTGTCCAGGTGGGCAGCACCAACAGATGTATTGACGTCAACAGAACCAGGAAGTAATGTCTGGAACCCCAACGAGGCGTTTCATACAGAGGAGAAAATTGTTTTTTACCCAGACAGAGTTTCTCCCTTTGGTGTAAACTTTGATCCGTGTGACTCTGTAGACCATTTACATGCACAAAAACCTATATAACCCAATAAAAGATGGAGAAAAACTCAGAAAAGCATAATAGGTCCCCTTTAAGACTACATTTTAACCACCATTCACTTTCAAGCTGCTGCTAAAATCCTGATTTTAGGAAGTTAGAAGCTCATTCATGTCTGTCAGAGGCTGTGCAGTCAGCTGAATCACAGTCAGAGGTGTACCTGTGGCGGGAAAGCCTGACCTCGCACTTGAGGGGTGGTACCTGTGCCTCTCTTTGACACCAAGGTTTGTCCAAAATGTTGCTAGATTTGTTGCTAGGGGCAAAAAAAGGTGGGAACAGTTGCTAAAGGTGTCTAAAAAGTCTAGTAAAACAAAAATAAAATTTCATGAGTGTTTTTTAACCTTTCATTCATGACATCGATAATTTATACTCATCAACAACGTTGTTGAACTAAGACCTTGAGTATTTGAATCAAAAGGATTGTGAGAAACGAAGTAAGCGTCATTATCATTATTTGTAGTATCATACATATATTGCCCTGCCACAGTTTCACATATAAGTGCATGTACCCCACTGAAGAGCTGCTGGTTGTGCATGAGAGCTGCACTGTAATTTAAGAGCAGAGGAGATGGACAGACAGACAGAACACATCATTTAGTCTAGGCTACAGCCAACATTAAAAAGGACTTGAAACAGCGTGGGGACCAAAAATGCTTAAAGGGGACATCCATTCCGATTATCCAAAACAAACAATGACCGACTGAGAGCATGCTACATTTGGACTGTGTATTTGCAGGACATTTCCAAATTCCATATAGCACTTTGAAAGTGCTGATATTGATATTGGGGCAAAGGGATTGAAGGGAAATCTTTTTGTGCTCATTGTGGAGGTGTAGTACAACAACATCCCACTCCAGTAATTCTTTCCTGAACAGAGTGGGTATTTTACTCGTCTATGAATGAAATTATGCTGTCTGAACTGTCTTGGGCCTGATGGTTGAAGGTTTGAAGGTTTACTGTTAATATCCAGTCTCAGAGCTTCAGTTAAAAATGCCTGTCTTCATTACAATGACTGCTAGCACCAAATGCAAACTGTTAGCCAAAAATAGCTTGTGCTAGAGCAACAAGGTTGAACTGTAACAGTATAGGTATACATGTCCACAAGAACTGTGCCAGTTCTTGTGGACATGCCAGTTCTTTTCTTCATTCACTGACTCATTGTTTAGTTTATAAAAAGTAAATAAACAGTGAAACATGCCCATGTCAATTTCTATTGGTAAGAAGACCAAGATTTCAATCTTAATGTTAAGAGTTAATTATTACACCATTACTTTGAGTGTGTGTTGTGCTTCTCTCTGCTGTCAAATACGGTTGATTGCCAGGAGCAGTAGGTGATGATTAGAGCCGGGCAATTAACTGAAAAAGGATCAAAACCGACATTTAGACGCCCTCACCAACTTACTCTTGCTCATATCAATTAATATGTTCCCCAATGACATATTCATGAACTGTCCTCTTCAAAAAATACGCCTCCGCCCTGTGAAACTATCATTAATCCAGTCACACAAAGCGAAGCTGGCGATATGAAGGACTCGAGCACCAACACTGAGCCTCAGCCAGCAGCTTCTACCTAAAACGAAGCCGTGTCCGTCGTTTGGCTTCAGTGAAGATGACGCTGAACAAAAAAAGGTCAAAAACAAACACTGCGGAAAAACAGTTTCAACAAGCAAAGGTGACGCCCAATTAGTCGAAATATAATCGAGATCTCAATATTGCCAAGTGCAATATCCAAATCACAGGAGCTGATATTTTTTTGATAAAGGTAAAATGTGTCACAACATTGTTGTGTATTGTTAGCATCATAAGTGTTGTAGGTGAAAATGAAAAAAAGAAAAACATTCCAACTGAAAACGCAATATTTTTTTTTGCATATCAAGCAGCCCTAGCTGGAACACAATCACGTTGCCGAATATGAAGAGTGCATGGCTCAAAAAAAAAAAAAAAAAGAAGAGGCAGATAAGCACCAAAGTGCTTCCACAAAGTATCTGTGTGCTTTGATTTCAACTGTTCAAAATATTCAATAAAAAGCCATAAATAGTTCATCTGTGTGCATTTCTTTAAATGATTTTAAAATCACAAACATGGTCTTTTTGATTAGAAAAAAAGTGTCTGAATGGACTAATGGATTTAATGGATCAATTAATCATGTGATTCAGTCAAATGTCTTCTAAATTGCTAGTTTATTAATGTCTTTTTAGAAATCAGACTCAAGCGTCACCCCTGTTCAGGTTTAAAAACCATGGTACCTGGTTGCTTGTAAGCAAATGCATATAATGAGCATTTTCTCTCACTAAACAACCTCAATGTGGATGACAATCACAGGAAGAACTCTTACTGAATTTTCTGTCCTTTTTAATATTGAATTTAAACGGAAGTTGTTACAATAATCATACCAGACTTGGAACACTCGCCACATCAGGCTGTTCTGCAGTAAGTACTAAAGGATGATTTTTTGTCAGTATATCTGGAATATTTATGTGGCTATTGTCAAAGAACCTTTCAACAATTATCTCACAACAACAAACTCCGCAGTATGAGTCCTTGTGAATCCATTCATCACTATCAATACTATCTCTTAAGCATTCCACATGACCCTACTACTACTACTACTATGTTTAGATATACTAGATGCACACTTTCATGTTAACGGCATAACCCAGTGTCACACTTTATGCGTTCAGCTCCTGGAGACAGTGGACATATTCCCTTTCTCCAAATCCGTCAGCCAAGAAGACCATTATAATGGGAGTCGAGATGCTTGATGCAGATCCGCCCTCCCCGTTCCCTCATATGCTGCTGTCTTACTATTGGGAAACGTCCTGTACGTAAAGAAGACCTGTACGCAAAGACGACTAGAGGACTGGGTTGTTCTAGTGTGCAACTGTGATGGAAAACGGCATGGGTCGTCTGTATAGGCGTGCGTTCCTTTCTGCACGTACATAACTCGAAATCCATCGGGGGACGCTCGCTAATCCTCACCCCTCCACACTACTGCCTTATCAAATTCACTGCACCTTACGCAAATTGGCCGACTCTAAATGACAACGTTTTTGTACATAGCTAAATCTGGGGCACTGGCCACAACAGAAACCGCTGCAACGCTAGACCGATTGGTTTTGCTCGCCGACTTTACAACAGCTCCGTTACCACCGAAGACAATCCGCGAAATTGGTCTCACGAGTACGCGCACGTAGCCAAACATACAATGCTAAAAGCTAACGGCTAACTGCAGGTAGGGCTGGGTGGCTAGTTTTGGGAATTGCCATCACTCTGAGGGAAACTAACAAACACGTTGTTATTAGACTGTTGCAAGTCAGTGATAAATATCTGAAGGATTTTAACGCCAATAACATAACGGTTCACTACCTCCTGCAGACACAGCTATCAGCTAGCGTGTGCTAATAGCTAGCTAGCAGAGCTAGCTATGTCAGCGGTCAGATTGAGTTCAGTTGCTGCGATCTACTACACCGATCAACTTTAGTTACAATTGCACATGCTTTTACCCTGTTAATGGCAAAACTCGAACAACAAACACCCAGTCCCACCAAGCATTGTTGGGCTTTGAGATCAAACCTTTAACTGGATTCTCCAGGAGCCCGGACGTACCATTATTAGTGCAAGACGGCTAGCTTGTTGGCTAAAGATGTGAGGGGAAACTCACCCTACAAAACTCTTGGCAGTACTCAGAAGAGGAGTGGACCGGAGATTCGCTGCTTTCACTACCCACGACTTCTTGCAATTCTTGCAACCGTTGTCTGAGTTCCCAAATCGTTTCACTGATCCCGTTCTCAGGACTACGGTCCTGCTCGGCCTCCTCGTCCGCCATCTTCACACCCAGCTCCAGCGCGTACCACTACCGCGTCGCTACGTAACAGCGTACGTGATGATGCAGGCGCTGTCATGACTACAGAGGTCACGTACGGATTAGTTTTTGGGAATAATTAAGATAGAATAAAAATAGAACATTATTTATTGATAGCTGGATTGAAAATGACATTTTTTGTTGGTGACACAGCTACTAAAGGAAAACAGACTTTTACCGAATTATACATTAAATAAATATAAATATGGAATTCCAGTTATTCCTGAAGAATTTGCAGTTGTCTTTGTATTTGATAGATAGATAGATAGATAGATAGATAGATAGATAGATAGATAGATAGATAGATAGATAGATAGATACTTTATTTATGCCGTAGGGGAAATTCATGTATCCATTAACTCACTAATAGTTAATAATAAATAAACAATAATAATTACATTAGTCCACTGCATTTGGCTGAGTTGTATAGCCTGATGGCAATGGGGACAAAGGATCTCCTGAACCTCTCTGTTCTGTGGAGAGAATGTTTGGTATTATCCAAGGTGGCCTTAATTTTACATTGCATGCATCTCTCCACAACTGTTCTGAATGAGTCCAGACTCCTGCCAAGCACAGACCCAGCTTTTTTGACCAGCTTGTCCAGTCTCCTTCTGTTCATATCTGACAAGCTGCTGCCCCAGCAAACTGCAGCATTAAAGAGTACACTGGCTACCACTGATGGATAAAACATGTGCAGCATTTCACTGCAGACATCAAAGGACCTGAGCCAACCCGATCGGGTATCTTTGGGTCTTTTGAGATTAATGCAAGGAATTGGCAGGATGTCTGATATGAAGTCACAATTAAAAATTAACATTATGTTAGATGGTATGGATAGACTAAAAATGTAATAATAGTCATATTAGGAGACTTTGCCAGGGGTTCATAACTCCAGATTCCGGAGATCCTTTGTCCCCACCTGCATCAGGTTATACAACACCTCAGCCAAAGGAAGTGGACTAATCTAATTATTATTGTTTATTTATCATCAACTGTTATTATTATTATTATATTAATTATTAATTATTATTATCAACAATGAGTTAATGGACACATGAAATTTCCCCTAGGGATAAATAAAGTATCTATCTATCTATTCTATCTATCTATCTATCTATCTATCTATCTATTACGAAGCTGAGAGTATTTGTCATTTATTTTATGAATGCCTATCTATTCAATTGTTTTGGTCAGATATAGAATATTTCTTATAGATGCTGACTGGTTCAACTATTCATTTAGAATTTTTTTTTTTTTAATGATAATAATGACATTGACTGTAAAAAACTATTTATTTGGAATCTCTTTATTTTATATGGAAAACACTTCAGCCACCAATGCAAATGGACTAAAAAGAAACCACACATACAACAATTCAAAATAATATTTTGACACTATATTGATTCATTACATGACTTAGGAACAGAAAGTAGAAACTTGAAAAGCCTTAAATATTTTCCTTTATTACCTTTGTTTTCTTTCACGATACCCCTACGTATATAGTTTGGTTTTGTCCCTTTGATATACATATGTATGTATATATAAAACTGCCCAGCACCACAATCCAGAAAGCTTTTGACAAAGAATCACAGTAGATCCATTTTCTTCAAACAAAAACTAAATTTTACAGCATTTTTCAGAGTCAAAATTGAGAAATTAAGAATTAAAGTTTCCAATTGCACTGAAAGCAAAGGAAGTCCACTTTAAAATTATTAAAATTATTAATGGTTTTTATTCCTCTGGGGAATTTTTAAGACAGCGATTTTCTGTAGATCATAAGAGTTGCTAATTGTTTTCCCTCCAGCTATAATATTAATAATAATTATAATTAGGGAGTGGAGATTAGATTAGATTAGGGTGTGTGGGTAATGCGTGTGTGCATGTTTAGATGTGTGTATGAGAAGCAGTGATATGTAACTGTGCTAATGACAGGTTAGACAGGCAGGGAGTGATGGGATGTGTTGATATTACCATGATAGTAAAAAGACAGATGATAAGATCGTCAGCATGAATGTAGATGATCATAGTGAAGTATAATTATAGATGAGCTGACGTGGAACTATGGGTGACTGACTCTGGGATTTACACATCTTTGTTTGTGTGTGTGTGTGTGTGTGTGTGTGTGTGTGTGTGTGTGTGTGTGTGTGTGTGTGAATCTAATGTATTGAAAGAGACAAAAAAATGTTTCCCAAGACTACATGGATAAGGCACAAACACAACCAAGGCACGTGGACTATATTCACTCAACAGTCTCTCAGGCCAGCTGCCTGTGGAGGTTTCTAACAGTTGTTGAACAGTGATGAATTTAGGCTGCACAACATGACCCCTAACGTTTGTGGCTCCCTGTGACTAATAACAGTGAGAAAATTCACACACATGGCTTGTTGACTTGTGAGGATGTGAAAGAAATGAGGGGATGATTTCATGGTGATTTCAACAGTCCAACAGTCCCTCTGATTAAACTGATGAAACATGAAGATTTTGTTGAGTGCAGCCTACACAGAATGTGACACCAACATGTCTCATCTCAAGAGTCACTCAAGTTCCAACTGTTAAACAGATGTGATTATGTGATAAATGTATTATAAACAATTATTTCATTTTGAAAACCATGGAATACACTGTTGGATGAGATGCAACTTTTTTATCGTGATGCACAACATCACACTGCCAGTAGATAAACTGCAAATAAGATTAAAGTGTATACATTCCCTTTTAACTTCAGACCTATGTATTCTCTTTTCTCTTGAGCAGCTTTTTGAATGCCAGCTTGAAGTCATCATTGAAGCTGGTGTACAGCACAGGATTGATGAGAGAATTGATATAACCCAGCCACGTCAGGAAGTCTGAGACAAGCTGAGAAGGCTGTAAAACCTGCAAACCCACCAGAAGCTCCTTTAAAAAGAAAGGCAGCCAGCAGATGATGAAAGCCCCGAGGATGAGGCCGAGGATTCGTGCTGCTTTCCTCTCACGTGACATACATATCTGGTTCCTGTCATCCTGCCTGTCCATGTCTGTTTGAAAGGATGGGATGTGGACAGTGGTGTTGAGTTTGTCAGTATGCAGCGTGGGGTCTGAGTCAGACAAGTCTGAGACACAAAATGTGTGGGGGACACGGAAATGGTCTGCAGAGTTCTGACTGCCCATGCTGCGACTGCTGAGGTGGCGAGAAGAGCCGCGCTTCTGGTAAAGTGTCTTAGCGGCGTTGTAAATCCTGTAGTATAATATAAGAATGATGATCATGGGGATGTAAAACGCCCCTAAAGTAGAGCATATAGTGTATCCCAGGTGGTCATGCTCTATGATGCAGTGTTGGAGGCTGCCACTGCTGGGCCTCTCAGTCCAGAATAATGGCGGCATGGATATGAAAACTGATATGACCCAGACTATTCCCACCATGATGGCGGTGCGGTGGGGTGACCTCTTGCGAGCATACTCAATAGCCTTGGTAATGGCCCAGTACCGGTCCAGGGCTATGACACACAGGTGCAGGATGGAGCAGGTGCAGCAGGTCATGTCCACGCTCAACCACACCTTGCACATGACCTGACCCAAGGACCACATCTCCATGGTGATGTAGAGGATACTGATGGGCATCACGAGGAGCGCCACCAGGAAGTCTGTGACGGCTAGAGAGCAGATGAGGTAGTTGGCGGGCAGGTGGAGCTTCTTGGTGGTGCAGATGGCGATAATGACGGCGCCATTGATGAGCGCTGTGAGGAGGGTGAAGAGGCCGAGGACAACCACCACCACCATCCTGTTGGTGAAGTGGACCGCCTGCAGGCTGCTAGCAGGTGGGCCAGTGCAGTTTGTGATGTTGAGTCCTGTGGTGCTCCATCCTGGGCTGCTCTCCATGTCTCTGCTGCTGGCTCCGTCTCTCGAGGGTCAAAGATCAGTCTGAAACAACAAAGCAGGTGTAAAGTATATTAGAGACAGACAGAGTACACGCTCCTGGGGCTTCCTGCCTTCCACACAATGCATGCCAATTGCTCTGCAAACTAATGTGACCATGAACAAAGACCTACTGGTAAAGAGAAAGAAAACATAAACTGCCTTATTTTTAATGTTTGAGTATGGTGATGTTGGCTGGTCTGTTGGTTGGATTGATTGTTAATCTGCGCTTTGGTTGCTTTGGTCCATGACTTAAGTATCTTAAAGACCCCTCGATGAACATCTAGTTTTTCACCTTGTTAACATCCCTATGGTGTTTTTATATAATACAGACATATGATGAGAGAAATAATCATCAACACCATGACTGAGTGTTTGCACCTTGAGCTGTAGTGAACCAATGACAGTCTCATAAACACAGATTTAGACAGCCAGGGTTTCATATGTCACAAACCTAAGGAACCAATGCTGTCAACTTGTGGGGACAGGGGGCGGGGCTAAATAAACCTGAAACCTTATCAGTACAGAGAGAGGGAGAGTTAGCATTAGCACAACCACTGACACTGTGTCAGCCACTGCCAGTTACAACCTAACAAACAACATAAAAAAAAAAAAGATGCTAACTATGCTAACCGTTCTGATCCGTCTGCTAGTCTCTGGTTCTGGTCTCAACAGACTCCTCATCTGAGTCTGGGTCTGACTGAGGCTCAAACATGTGGCTGAGTCTCTCTGATGTTTCCTCCTCTAACCATCTTGATACTCTCTGCTCTTTCACCTGTCCACCTGGAGACAGCAGGTGGTGGGCGGGGCACAAGAGTTTAAAACATGTCCAGAGGAACTTTAAAAATAAATCTTCCTAGGATAGTTATGGTCTCCAGTGAGTAAATCCTGATGTCTTGTTATTTTCTTTCTCTTGGACAACAAAAAAGTTGTCGAATGCACAGAGGTGATACAATTAAATATGCTCAATATCTTCACAAATGCAGGCACAAAGGACACATAAAGACTCAGACTGGAAGCTATAGTTATATATCACAATGTGTTTCAGGCTTGGTGTGTTCCTCAGGCAGCATGAAAGGGCTGATGCTGGTGTCTCTCTAGAAGTGGAGAAAATGCTGACATAATAATTACATCCTATCAAAATACAACACAACACAACAATAGTGGGATGAGGGAAGATTGACATACAAATTAATTAATTAATTAAAATAATGAGCTTACACTTCAGACACAGACAGACAGGGAGAGACAGACAGACAGAGACAGAGAGACAGAGGGAGAGACAGACAGACAGAGAGAGAGACAGAGAGTGAGAGAGAGAGACAGACAGAGACAAAAACAAACAGACAGACAGACAGACACACACACACACACACACACACACACACACACACACACACACAAAACTAGGTTTTTACTGGTACGACTCTAAAACAAATAAAATTGTCAGCATTCAGTTCACCTGTATGGTCTGGTCATGTCTCTCACACAGTGGTTTGTAATGAGGGTGTAATGAATACTGTGGCCTCCAGGGGGTGCTAAAATGTCAGAGATCAGACATCATGAAGCAGGCTGAACAGCCACTGCTGCATTGTGTTTTCACTTTTTTGTGAGTAAAAGAGACAACTTTGGGCACACTTCATCAGTTCCATATATGTTTAAGAGTCTTTCAAAAAGTCAATAGTTTTATAATGGAGCTAAATGCCGTTTTGGGACGAGGGCTCTGCCTGCAGGGCTTCTCCCTGGAGTCGCTTCTGGTGCAGTCAAGTGAGAGAGGTCCGGCTGCTGCCTATACCAGTGCAAGCCATGCCTACCTCACAGGTAAGGGTAATGGCTGGTTAACATGTAGTCTTGATGGACCACATTTAAGTCACTGTTTTAAAACTTAATTCATTGTCTGACAACAGAAACAGAAAAACATGTATGAAAATGCTGTGTATGTGAGCACAGAGAGGAGGGGAGAAGCAAATGTTAATGGGCTGAAACCAGCAGATACTAATGCCTCATGAATATGCTTATTGGTGTACTGCATCATCTAGTGACATGTAGCGGCTTTTCCAGCATCTTTAGCTACTTTCCATTGAAAGTAGTTTTCAACTACGTCTGCATTCATTCTACTACGCACATTGACCAAACTCAGTCCAGATATGTTAGGTTTTGACCAAATCTATCATAATTCTATGAGCTATAGACCATGTCAGCACAGTGCTACTTTACATTAATGCTGGCTACAAACATTGTTTTTTTAAACATATGTTATGTGAAAGGCAATTCTACTCTGTAGTAAATAAATGTAAAACAGCTGTTACCTGGAAAGTAAGAGAAACAATCAAATAGAACAGAACAGCGCACTTGTAGTAAATGGACTAAAGCATGAAAGCCACTTAAATGGTTTCAGTGGTCAGGTTATTGCGTGTGAAGCTGTTGTATGCTCTCAAACATTTTTAAATGGGATTTTTATATCAACAATCAAATCTTAAGCCTCTGCTTAAGGTGTCTTGTTAAGTCAAAGGCTCAGTCTAAAGTAAGGATCATGATCATATCCTGATCATATTCTTTTGCTCCTGGTGTTTATTTTCATTTTATTCTATGTTTATTTTCCTACATAACAGAGATGAACTGTACACACTTAGGCAACACTAACCATACATTAACATTTAAACAGCTCACAAAATAATCTTAAATCAAAGTCCATCTTTTTGCTTTTTCCAGAGCTTTCAACTGCATCTCACAGTCTTCAAACTTCAACTGAGCCATTTACACCTGCTGCTTAAAACCAATTATTGAGTTTTTATTCCGCTACGCCAGTGACAGTCAGAGCTGGAGGCATATTGTTTTTGGGTTGTCCACCTGTCCGTCCGTCCCTTTTGTATATGACTTTGGATAAAAAACTAGTTTTTAAACTAGTCTGAGTGGAGGAGGCAGACAGCTGATTCTAGTCGATGATAATTGGGGTAGTGCCCTTTAGTTGTCTGTATATTGTCAGTGTCAGTGTGAATCTGTGAACCTCCAGCATTAACCAAAGACTGACAGTCAGAGCAGCAGCAGCACATTGATCAGCATTGTTGCTAAAAGAGATGTAAAACCACAGGAGGCACTCTTTGTGTTTTTCTGCAACAGTAAAAAGGTTTGCCCTCACTCATGTAAAGAGAAGTACAACCAAACAAAAGAAACCATGTGGTGCAGGGGGAGATCCAGTGATGGCGTGAGAGAGAAATGATCATTAATGCAGTCTGGATGGACTGTCCATGTGCATCCAGGTACACTAATGTAAACTCCGCCTACCAGGACGTGAAGTAGCAGCCAAGGAAAAGACACAACTGCTGAAGCACACTGAGGGAGGGGGGAGGCGTATTGTAGCGGACTGTGTGTGCTGGAGCAGCTACGTGGTGACTGTTACTAACAACAGCAGCTCAGCAGCAGCTGTCTCCATGGACATGGTTGACTGCTGTTCCTGTACAACCTCTAAACACACATCAGCCGAATCAATAATCAGAAACAGGTGGGCCAGGGCAGTGGCATGCTGGGAATACAGTCAGATCCACAGGGACAACACAGCCACAGGAGACTAATTCAGACACAGATAGCTGGAATGAACTCTTTAGTTCCCACTGAAATACCATTTAAATCTTAAATCTCAGGGTACCACTTCATAATGAGTCACACAAGTCTTACATTATCCCAAATGTTTCCATCAATTCTCAAACCAGAGAAATCTGTGATTTTAATCATGGTAACGCTCTGTGTTATTGGTCTCCTGTCAATGACATCATATCCTCTATGATCATGTGTCAGTGTTGTGTTTGTCTGACAGTAGCTCAACATTGACTTTTGTCTAGTTTTAAGCCACATATACTTTTTACAACTTGGTGGTTTTCAGCTCTATATTTGAACCAGATGAAGGATTTTAGTCGTTGGATGTCTGGATCTGAAGTTATCAGAGAAACAAGCTGAGGAAATGTTAGACAGCTCAGCTCCCAGCTGCTGGAGACGTCCTGTCCTGTGTCACTGAAGAACGTCGGTGAATCTCTGATTTTGAAAGTTAAACTGCTTTCTGGGTGTTTCTACTGGTTTGAATCCCCTGGTGTGTTTGTTATGGAGAGGAGGACACCTCTGTGGATAATTCAGCTGCTGGTAAAAACCCGCTGAACATCTGGTTCATAAGTTATCAGAGAAACAATCAGAACAAAGGTTAGCATCAATCTCAGCTCCAACTCTTCCCTGAGTCTCTGTTCTCCGTACAGCGTCGCTCAAACACTGACTTTAAATGTTAAACTGCTTTATTCAGTGTTTTTAACGATTAGAATCACTGGGTCTGTTTGATTTCCTGAACCACTGACACTGAAGGATTCCCAACTGAGAGGAGCTTACGGTAATGGTGGTGAAGACGACAACTCCCATGATCCCATGCTAATTCTTGAAGTCACCCAATGCTGTCTTTTGTTGTTGTTTTCATTGAGAGACCTCTAGAGGCAGAAGTCACAGACTGTGTTTAAGTCTTTATTATGAATGTTAATGAGTTATTAATGAATGGATTTCAGTCCTGATGCTCATTTAGATATTGAATATGTGGTAGACTCATGGTGATACCAGTCGTCTCAACAGCCTGGAAAACAGATCCTGAGCTGACCTCATCAACAGTCTGATCTCTGTGGAGCATCATGTCTCAGCCTCTTGAAGAAATGTGTCACAATCCATTCCGGTCTCCTGCCTGCTTTTCCCATTCACCTGCACCCAGTAATGTTCCACCTACCTCCACTCACCTGTTTGCTCCGCCTCCTCATCAGTCACCATGGTTTTCTCCCACCTTCCACACCTGCTCCTCATCAGTAATCAACCCTGGATATAAGCACCCACCTCCTGACACTCATTGCCAGATTGTTCTTCGCGTCATGCAAGTCTTTCCAGCACTTTTGTCCGGACTGATCTCCCGTTGCTGACTCTGCCTGCCTTTGACCTGCTCG